TGTTCACGGCTCGTGTGAGTTGCCGTGGCAGTGTGTGTGTGCGGACGGCTGGACCGGACGCTTCTGCGACAAAGGTCAGAGGTCAGACAGGCTCTGTGTGTGTGTTACAGTTGTGTGTCTGTGTGTTTGTGTTATAGTTGTGTGTTTGTGTTACAGTTGTGTGTTTGTGTGTTATAGTTGTGTGTTATAGTTGTGTGTCTGTGTGTGTTTGTTTGTGTTATAGTTGTGTGTCTGTGTGTTACAGATGTGTGTTTGTGTGTGTGTTTGTGTGTTACAGTTGTGTGTTTGTGTGTTACAGTTGTGTTGTTGTGTGTTACAGTTGTGTGTTACAGTTGTGTGTTTGTGTGTGTGTGTTTGTGTGTTATAGTTGTGTGTCTGTGTGTTACAGTTGTGTGTCTGTGTGTTACAGATGTGTGTTTGTGTGTTATAGTTGTGTGTCTGTGTGTTATAGTTGTGTGTTTGTGTTACAGTTGTGTGTTTGTGTGTTATAGTTGTGTGTCTGTGTGTGTTTGTTTGTGTTACAGATGTGTGTTTGTGTTACAGTTGTGTGTTACAGTTGTGTGTTTGTGTGTTAGTGTGTGTTGTGTGTTACATGTGTGTTGTGTTTGTGTGTTACAGTTGTGTGTTATAGTTGTGTGTTTGTGTGTTACAGTTGTGTGTTTGTGTGTTATAGTTGTGTGTCTGTGTGTTACAGATGTGTGTTTGTGTGTTACAGTTGTGTGTTATAGTTGTGTGTCTGTGTGTGTTTGTTTGTGTTACAGATGTGTGTTTGTGTTACAGTTGTGTGTTACAGTTGTGTGTTTGTGTGTTATAGTTGTGTGTCTGTGTGTTACAGATGTGTGTTTGTGTGTTACAGTTGTGTGTTATAGTTGTGTGTTTGTGTGTTACAGTTGTGTGTTTGTGTGTTATAGTTGTGTGTCTGTGTGTTACAGATGTGCGTGCGTGTCACAGCGCCCCCTGTCTGCACGGTGGTACTTGTGTGATGGAGGACAGTGGTGACGTCACTTGTCTCTGTGCGGACGGTTTCCACGGTGACCGCTGCCAGCAGAGGGCGGGGCCATGTCACCTGCTCAGGTACCGCCCCCAAACTCCACATGACTTTAAATTCATATTTCATCATTTCTCCCAAGTCTCATGTTTAAACGGGAGTCAGAGTTTATATGTTTATAAGTTTTATATTTTATTATTAATAATAATAATATTTTTATTGCAGGTCTCCGTGTTTAAACGGGAGTCAGAGTTTATATGTTTATAAGTTTTATATTTTATTATTAATAATAATAATTATATTTTTATTGCAGGTCTCCGTGTTTAAACGGGAGTCAGAGTTTATATGTTTATAAGTTTTATATTTTTTTATTAATAATAATAATAATATTTTTATTGCAGGTCTCCGTGTTTAAACGGGGGGCAGTGCGAGGACCAGTTCGGTTTCTCAGACTCGTTTTCATGTCGATGTCTCGCCGGGTTTTCTGGCGCGCGCTGTGAGGTCGACGTGGACGACTGCGCGCTGTCGCCGTGCGCTAACGGCGCCACGTGCACGGACGGCGTGAACCGCTTCACGTGCACGTGCGCGGCGGGCTTCAGCGGGAGGTTCTGCTCCGTGAACGTGGACGAGTGCGCCAGTCGACCCTGCGCCAACGGGGGGCGCTGTCTGGACCAGGCCAACGGGTACCGCTGCCTCTGTCGCCACGGTTACGCCGGCCCCGCCTGCCTGAGCCGCCCCGCCCCGGCCAATCACAGCGAGCGCACGCTCAGGGTGACGCTGAGCGAGCGAGGCTCCGCCCCCTCTCTGTCGCAGACGCAGGTGGTCACCGTGGTGACGCTCGCCGTCGCCACCGTCGCCCTGGTGACGCTCACGGCGACGCTCGTGCTGCACAGACATTGTGGCCACGCCCCCTGCTGGCGACGCTGGGGGCGGAGCTCCAGGACCGAGAAGGTCTGACGCACAACGTCCAGACACACAACCTCCTGACGCACAACACACAACCTCCGAACGCACAACCTCCGAACGCACAACCTCCTGACGCACAACGCACAACACACAACCTCCGAACGCACAACCTCCGAACGCACAACCTCCTGACGCACAACCTCCTGACACACAACACACAACCTCCAGACACACAACACACAACACAACTTCTGGACACACAACTGTAACTCTCAGGGAATCCAGCCCACAACCTCCAGACTGTCCAGGCTCCTCTGCTCCTGCCTGCTCCTGTCGGCAGGTGTATGTGTGTACACTTGTGTGCACTTGTGTACATTTGTGTACATTTGTGTATTTTTGTGTATTTGTACAGTGCTGTTGTGTCATTTGTGAATATATTTATTATTTATGTAAATGAGCTCTTTAATTATTATTAAAACTTGTAAAAATGAATCAGTTTGTGGAATTTACCCCCAAACCAGAAGCTCCACAGTCTGAGCCTCCGTCCAATCACAGACGAGAACCTCCGTCCAATCACAGACGAGATCCTCCGTCCAATCACAGACGAGAGCCTCCGTCCAATCACAGACGAGATCCTCCGTCCAATCACAGACGAAATCCTCCGTCCAATCACAGACCAGAGCCCCCGTCCAATCACAGACCAGAGCCTCCGTCCAATCACAGACCAGAGCCTCCGTCCAATCACACACAGGAATTTTTATTTGTTTATTTAAACAAAGATCAAAAACACAAACGTGATTTTACAAAAGTCAAATTTAGATTTATGATTTTAGAAAAACTTGAGTGACACGTGTGAAGACCAATCAGAGCTCAGGGGGCGGGTCACATCTCTGTCTCGTCCAATAGGCTGTCCCCAAGCCCCGAGGTCAGAAGAACAGTGTGAGCGCCACCTGCAGGAGCACACGGGAAGACCTGGATCAGTCCCGGTCTAGTCCCGGTCTAGTCCCGGCTCAGTCTCGGTCTAGTCCCCGGTCTAGTCCCGGCTCAGTCTCGGTCTAGTCCCGGTCTAGTCCCGGCTCAGTCTCGGTCTAGTCCCGGTCTAGTCCCGGCTCAGTCTCAGTCTAGTCCCGGTCTAGTCCCGGCTCAGTCCCGGTCTAGTCCTGGTTCAGTCCTGGTTTAGTCCTGGTCTAGTCCCAGTCTAGTCCTGGTTCAGTCCTGGTTGAGTCCTGGTTTAGTCCTGGTCTAGTCCTGCTCAGACTTACTGTGGGGAAGCCAGTCCCTCTCCTCTCTGATTGGTTGCTGCTGGAGACGCTGATCTCTGATTGGCTCGTCCTCGGACTCCGACAGCAGGTCCTGGATCTGGGTCTGGACTTCTGGACTGATCTGGTTTTCAGCCAAAACCAGGACTTTAAGACTCACTGGGTAAAAGAGGAGCAGGTCCAAGAAGACCTGAGGAGAGACCTGGTTTAGTCCTGATTTAGACCTGGTTTAGTCCTGGTTTAGTTCTGGTTTAGTCCTGGTTTAGTTCTGGTTTAGTCCTGGTTTAGTTCTGGTTTAGACCTGGTTTAGTCCTGATTTAGACCTGGTTTAGTTCTGGTTCAGTCCTGGTTTAGTCCTGGTTTAGACCTGGTTTAGTTCTGGTTTAGTTCTTGTTTAGTTCTGGTTTAGACCTGGTTTAGTCCTGGTTTAGTTCTGGTTTAGTCCTGGTTTAGTTCTGGTTTAGACCTGGTTTAGACCTGGTTTAGTTCCTGGTTTAGTCCTGGTTTAGTCCTGGTTTAGTCCTGGTTTAGTCCTGGTTTAGTTCTGGTTTAGTTCTGGTTTAGTTCTGGTTTAGACCTGGTTTAGTCCTGGTTTAGTCCTTGTTTAGTCCTGGTTCAGTCCTGGTTTAGTTTAGTCCTGGTTTAGTCCTGGTTTCCTGGTTTAGTCCTGGTTTTAGTCCTGGTTTAGTCCTGGTTTAGTCCTGGTTTAGGTTTCTGGTTTAGTCCTGGTTTAGTCCTTGTTTAGTCCTGGTTCAGTCCTGGTTTAGTCCTGGTTTAGTCCTGGTTTAGTTCTGGTTTAGTCCTGGTTTAGTCCTTGTTTAGTCCTGGTTCAGTCCTGGTTTAGTTCTGGTTTAGTCCTGGTTTAGTCTGGTTTAGTCCTGGTTTAGTCCTGGTTTAGTCCTGGTTTAGTCCTGGTTTAGTCCTGGTTCAGTCCTGGTTTAGTCCTGGTTTAGTCCTGGTTTAGTCCTGGTTTAGTTCTGGTTTAGTCCTGGTTTAGTCCTTGTTTAGTCCTGGTTCAGTCCTGGTTTAGTTCTGGTTTAGTCCTGGTTTAGTTCTGGCTTAGACCTGGTTTAGTCCTGGTTTAGTTCTGGTTTAGACCTGGTTTAGTCCTGGTTTAGTTCTGGTTTAGTTCTGGTTTAGTTCTGGTTTAGACCTGGTTTAGTCCTGGTTTAGTTCTGGTTTAGACCTGGTTTAGTCCTGGTTTAGTTCTGGTTTAGTTCCTGGTTTAGTCCTGGTTTAGTCCTGGTTTAGTCCTGGTTTAGTCCTGGTTTAGTTCTGGTTTAGTCCTGGTTTAGTTCTGGTTTAGTCCTTGTTTAGTCCTGGTTCAGTCCTGGTTCAGTCCTGGTTTAGTCCTGGTTTAGTCCTGGTTCAGTCCTGGTTTCAGTCCTGGTTTAGTCCTGGTTTAGTTCTGGTTTAGTCCTGGTTTAGTCCTTGTTTAGTCCTGGTTCAGTCCTGGTTCAGTCCTGGTTTAGTTCTGGTTCAGTCCTGGTTTAGTCCTGGTTCAGTCCTGGTTTAGTTCTGGTTTAGTCCTGGTTTAGTTCTGGCTTAGACCTGGTTTAGTCCTGGTTTAGTTCTGGTTTAGACCTGGTTTAGTCCTGGTTTAGTTCTGGTTTAGTTCTGGTTTAGTCCTGGTTTAGTTCTGGTTTAGACCTGGTTTAGTCCTGGTTTAGTTCTGGTTTAGTTCTGGTTTAGTCCTGGTTTAGTTCTGGTTTAGTCCTGGTTTAGTCCTGGTTTAGTTCTGGTTTAGTCTGGTTTAGTTCTGGTTTAGTCCTGGTTTTCCTGGTTTAGTTCTGGTTTAGACCTGGTTTAGTCCTGGTTTCCTGGTTTAGTCCTGGTTTAGTCCTGGTTTAGTTCTGGTTTAGTTTTCTGGTTTAGTCCTGGTTTAGTTCTGGTTTAGTTTTCTGGTTTAGTTCTAGGGTTTAGTTTTCCTGGTTTAGTCCTGGTTTAGTTCTGGTTTACTGGTTTACCTGGTTTAGTTCTGGTTTAGACCTGGTTTAGTTTACCTGGTTTAGTCCTGGTTTAGTTCTGGTTTAGACCTGGGTTCTGGTTTAGTTCTGGTTTAGTTCTGGTTTAGTCCTGGTTTAGTTCTGGTTTAGTTCTGGTTTAGTCCTGGTTTAGTTCTGGTTTAGACCTGGTTTAGCTGGTTTAGTTCTGGTTTAGTCCTGGTTTAGTTTCCTGGTTTAGTTTCCTGGTTTAGTTCTGGTTTAGACCTGGTTTAGTCTGGTTTAGTCCTGGTTTAGTTCTGGTTTAGTCCTGGTTTAGTTCTGGTTTAGTTCTGGTTTAGTTTAGACCTGGTTTAGTTCTGGTTTACTGGTTTAGTTCTGGTTTAGTTCTGGTTTAGACCTGGTTTAGTTTAGTCCTGGTTTAGTTCTGGTTTAGTTTACCTGGTTTAGTTTAGTCCTGGTTTAGTTCTGGTTTAGTTCTGGTTTAGACCTGGTTTAGTTTAGTCCTGGTTTAGTTCTGGTTTAGTCCTGGGTCCTGGTTTAGTTTTCTGGTTTAGTTCTGGTTTAGTCCTGGTTTAGTCTGGTTTAGACCTGGTTTACTGGTTTCCTGGTTTAGTTCTGGTTTAGACCTGGTTTAGTCCTGGTTTACCTGGTTTACCTGGTTTAGTTCTGGTTTAGACCTGGTTTAGTCCTGGTTTAGTTCTGGTTTAGACCTGGTTTAGTCCTGGTTTAGTTTTCCTGGTTTAGTCCTGGTTCTGGTTTAGTTCTGGTTTAGACCTGGTTTAGTCCTGGTTTAGTTCTGGTTTAGACCTGGTTTAGTCCTGGTTTAGTTCTGGTTTAGTTCTGGTTTAGACCTGGTTTAGTCCTGGTTTAGTTCTGGTTTAGACCTGGCCTGTTTGGTTGGAGAGTCCGGTTCCTTCTAGATCCAGCGTCTCCAGGGTTCTGCTCGACGCCACGGCAACGGCCAACATCTCAGCGATACGGTCTCCTAGCAACAGACGCAGCATCAGCACCAGGTGACAGAACGGCACCGGGCTCTGGTCCGGACCGGGTCTGGACCGGGTCTGGACCGGGTCTGGACCGGGTCTTACCGAGCGGGTTGTAGTCCAGGCGCAGGACCCGGAGCTGGGCGCTGTGGGCCAGAGCGACGCAGAGGCGGGTCCAGGCCCGAGCGCTCACCCCGGGGTTAGAACTGAGACTCAGCTCCTGCAGACCTGAAAACAGAACCACCTTTATGGACCAGAACCAGACCAGGACTCAGACCAGGACTCAGACCAGGACTCAGACCAGGACCAGGACTACAGACCCCGGAACAGACCATCAAGACCAAAACCTAGAACTGAACCAGGACCTGACAACTGGAAAACACAGAACACATCCACACGTGTCCTGATGGAGACCTGGTTTAGTCCTGGTTTAGTCCTGGTTTAGTCCTGGTTTAGTCCTGGTTTAGTCCTGGTTTAGTCCTGGTTTAGTCCTGGTCCTGGTTTAGTTCTGGTTCAGTCCTGGTTCAGTCCTGGTTTAGTTCTGGTTCAGTCCTGGTTTATTCCTGGTTTAGACCTGGTTTAGTCCTGGTTTAGTCCTGGTTTAGTCCTTGTTTAGTCCTGGTTTAGTCCTGGTTTAGTCCTGGTTTAGTCCTGGTTTAGTCCTGGTTCATGGTTCAGTCCTGGTTTAGTCCTGGTTTAGTCCTGGTTTAGTCCTGGTTTAGTCCTGGTTTAGTCCTGGTTTAGTCCTGGTTCCTGGTTTAGTCCTGGTTTAGTCCTGGTTTAGTCCTGGTTTAGTCCTGGTTTAGTCCTGGTTTAGTCCTGGTTTCCAGTTCCTGGTTTAGTCCTGGTTTAGTTCTGGTTAGTCCTGGTTTCAGTCCTGGTTTCAGTCCTGGTTTAGACCTGGTTTCCTGGTTTAGTCCTGGTTTAGTCCTGGTTTAGACCTGGTTTAGTCCTGGTTTAGTCCTGTTTAGTCCTGGGTTAGTCCTTGTTTAGACCTGGGTTTAGTCCTGGTTTAGTTTCTGGTTTAGTCCTGGTTTAGTCCTGGTTTAGACCTTGTTTAGACCTGGTTTAGTCCTGGTTTAGTTCTGGTTTTAGTCCTGGTTTAGTTCTGGTTTAGTTTAGTCTGGTTTAGTCCTGGTTTCCTGGTTTAGACCTGGTTTAGTCCTGGTTTAGACCTGGTTTAGTCCTGGTTTCCTGGTTTTCTGGTTTAGTCCTCACCGGGTCTGGCTCCGTCGGGGGGCAGGAGTCCACAGACCTGGTTCAGGACTTGGTCTGTCAGGGAACAGTCCCCCAGGTCCAGACTGACCAGAGCCGGATGCAAAACCAGAGACCGAGTCAAGACCAAAGACTCTGGACCCGACAGACGGTTTCCATGGAGACTGAGGAGAGACAGAGTCAGAAACAAGTACAAATACTACAAATACTACTACTACTACTACTACTGCTACTACTACTATTACTGCTACTGCTACTGCTATTACTGATACTCCTACTACTACTACTACTACTACTACTGCTACTACTACTACTACTACTACTACTACTACTGCTACTACTACTACTACTACTACTACTGCTACTACTACTACTACTACTACTACTACTACTACTACACTACTACTGCTACTACTACTACTACTACTACTACTGCTACTACTGCTACTACTACTACTACTACTACTACTACTACTGACTACTACTACTACTACTACTACTACTGACTACTACTACTACTGCTACTACTACTACTACTACTACTACTGCTACTACTACTACTACTACTACTACTACTACTACTGCTACTACTACTACTACTACTACTACTACTGCTACTACTACTACTACTACTACTACTACTACTACTACTGCTACTACTACTACTACTACTGCTACTACTACTGCTACTACTACTACTACTACTACTGCTACTACTACTACTACTACTACTACTACTACTACTACTACTACTACTGCTACTACTACTACTACTACTACTACTGCTACTACTACTACTACTACTGCTACTACTACTACTACTACTACTACTACTACTACTACTACTACTACTACTACTACTACTGCTACTACTACTACTACTACTACTGCTACTACTACTACTACTACTACTACTACTACTACTACTACTGCTACTACTACTACTACTACTACTACTACTACTACTACTACTGCTGCTACTACTACTACTACTACTACTACTACTACTACTACTACTACTACTACTACTACTACTACTACTACTACTACTACTACTACTACTTCAAATACTTTGAATACTGTTACTTGTACTTTGTGACTCACAAAAGCGTCTGGAGGCTTCGGTTCTGGTCCAGGGCCCGGGCCAGGTCCTTGATCCGGTCCGGACCCGAGGCCACGCCCAGACTCAGGTTGAGTTGGACCAGAGTCCTGGACCGAGCCGCGGACTCGCAGATCCTCCCGAAGTCCTGGTCCGAAACCCGGCACCCGCGCAGAGACAAGAGCTGGGCCCGGTCCAGACCCGCGCAGACCCACTGGACCTGGTCTGGACCCAAGTGCTCCCCACAGAACTGCACACACACCGGGACCATCCTGACGAGAGACCACACTCTACCAGAACCAGAACCAGAACCAGAACCAGAACCATCCTGACGAGAGACCACACTCAACCAGAACCAGAACCAGAACCACCACTGGACCAGAACCAGGACTGGACCAGGACTGAACCAGGACTAGCCTAGGACCAGGACTGGGCCAGGACCAGGACCAGGACTGGACCAGGACCAGGACTGGGCCAGGACTGAGCCAAGACCAGGACTGGACCAGGACCAGGACTGGACAGGGAATGGACGAGGACTAAACTAGGACTGGACCAGAACCAGCACCAGGACTGGACCAGGACTGAACCAGAACCAGGACTGGACCACGACCAGGACTAGACCAGGACCAGAACTAGGACTAAACCAGGACTAAACCAGGACTAAACCAGGACTAAACCGGGACTAAACCCGGACTCAGAATAAACAGCTCTAGTGTCTTTACCTGACAGGGTTCAGCTCAGTGACGTCATGCCGTGGGTCCGGTTCGGGAGCGCGCTCTGGGTCCGAATAGAACCCGGGACCGGAACTCAGGAGCCGCGATGTGTTTGATCTCGGTCCGTAGCAACCGTCTCCAGGAGCGCAGAGACAGAACGGACAGACCTCTCACTCCTCACTCCTCACGCGTCAGAATCTCACCTCAGAGAACTTTCCAGAAGTGTCAGAACCACGAGGAGCACCTGAACTGTGAGGAGCACCTGAACTGTGAGGAGCACCTGAACTGTGAGGAGCACCTGAACTGTGAGGAGCACCTGAACTGTGAGTCCGTTCTACACCACAGTGAGAGTCTGATTCCAACACGATCTTTGTGTGAGCACAGTGACGTCACGAGCTAAAGAGGATTATTACGGGGTCAGGTGAGTGGACAGGTACCAGGACTAAACCAGGACTAAACCAGGACTAAACCAGGACTAAACCAGACTAAACCAGGACTAGACCAGGACTAAACCAGGACTAGACCAGGACTAGACCAGGACTAAACCAGGACTAAACCAGGACTGAAGATGATATAGAAAAGTGCGTTGCCATAAACAGTTTCTATTTTGTTATTATATAATTAAATTCTTAAACATTATTTTTGTGTGTTTTAGTTTTAATTCACACATTATGATTTTATCCAAAGTAAACCAATAAAATAATTAATAATTCATCAAATAATAATTAATAAAAAACAAAAACTATTTCTACGCAGTGTTGTTGCTGTGGACGTGGTGACGTAGGCGGAAGTATCGCGTCCACAGCTGCAGCTAGCGGCGGCTAAAGCTAAAGGCTAACTCCGCGGATTTAAAGTAAAAAAGGAGCCGAGGTGAGACACGAACCGAACCGAACCGAGCCAGAACCCGAGACCGAACCAGAACCCGAGACCGAACCCGAGCGGCCCGCGGGCTCAGAGACACAAAGACCCGGATAAACGTGAAACAGGGTTAGCTGTTAGCATTAGCATCCAGCTGTTTGAGCAAAAACAAAACGAACTGGACCAAGACCTGGTTTAGTCCTGGTTTAGACCTGGTTTAGTCCTGGTTTAGTCCTGGTTCAGACCTGGTTTAGACCTGGTTTAGTCCTGGTTTAGTCCTGGTTTAGTCCTGGTTTAGACCTGGTTTAGTCCTGGTTTTAGACCTGGTTTAGTCCTGGTTTAGTCCAGGTTTAGTCCTGGTTTAGACCTGGTTTAGTCCTGGTTTAGACCTGGTTTAGTCCTGGTTTAGTCCAGTTTTAGACCTGGTTTAGTCCTGGTTTAGTCCTGGTTTAGTCCTGGTTTAGACCTGGTTTAGTCCTGGTTTAGACCTGGTTTAGTCCGGGTTTAGTCCGGGTTTAGTCCTGGTTTAGACCTGGTTTAGACCTGGTTTAGTCCGGGTTTAGTCCTGGTTTAGTCCTGGTTTAGTCCTGGTTTAGACCTGGTTTAGACCTGGTTTAGTCCTGGTTTAGACCTGGTTTAGTCCTGGTTTAGACCGCATTAAACACCAAGATCAGACCTTAAAGTACCAGGTCTAAACCAGGACTAGACCGGGACTAAACCGGGACTAAGCTAGGACTAAACCGGGACTAAATTAGATCTAAACCAGGTTTAAACCAGGACTAGACCAGGACTAAACCGGGACTAAGATAGGACTAAACCGGGACTAAATTAGATCTAAACCAGGTCTAAAACAGGTCTAGACCCGGCCTGAACTCGTCTCTGTCTCTTCCAGCAGGGGGCGCTGGGAGGATTGCGGGATGGGGCCGGAGCGCGTCTTTCCGAGCTCGGATGACGAGGTTCGTGACGAGGAGCGGTTTCCCCCGGCGACGGCGTGGAGCGAGGAGGAGGAGGAGCCCAACGTGGCGGGGGGCGGGGCCTATCACTACCAGCCCCTGAACCAGGAACCGACCGGCAACGAGCCAATCAACGACGAGGACGAGGAGCAGGAGGCGGAGCCAGAGCCCACGCTGCAGCAGAGGATGGAGGTCAAAGTTCATCCCCAAAACAATCTGTAATCTGAGTAACTCGAGTAATCTGAGTAACTCGAGTAATCTGAGTAACCCCGAGTAATTGGAGTAACCCCGAGTAATTGGAGTAACCCCGAGTAATTGGAGTAACCCCGAGTAATTGGAGTAACTCGAGTAATCTGAGTAACCCCGAGTAATCTGAGGAACCCCGAGTAATCGGCGTAACCCCGAGTAATCGGCGTAACCCCGAGTAATCGGCGTAACCCCGAGTAATCGGCGTAACCTCGAGTAATCGGAGTAACCCCGAGTAATCGGAGTAACTCGAGTAATCTGAGTAATCTGAGTAACTCGAGTAATCTGAGTAGTCATAGTAACTCTAGTAATGAGTAATCTGAGTAACCAAAGTAATCTGAGTAGTCATAGTAACTCGAGTAATCTGAGTAACTCGAGTAATATGAGTAATATGGGTAATCTGTGTAACCGAGGTTACTCAGATTACTCAAATTACTTGAGTAACTAAAACTCAACCTCTCAGAGTAAATCCGTTGAGTTTTTTTTTCTCGTAGGAGGTAAAAAGTCCAACATTATAAAAGTCGTGTTTGTGGTGTTTTTGTTTCCAGGTGATGGGGCTACACCTGCCCGAAGCTCCGCCCCCTGAGGCCGAGGACGAGGACCGTGATTGGGCCGAGGCTCAGAGAAGCCGCGCCTCTATTCCCATGGACGCAGGTGAGTCATGCGCCCCCTGCTGGACACTTTCATTTATCAAAACGTCGAGATGATTCCAGATGCACACGACCCGGGTCTAGACCCGGTCTAAGTCTGGTCTGGACTCGGGTCTAGAGCCGGTCTAAGTCTGGTCTGGACCCGGGTCTAGAGCCGGTCTAACTGTGGTCTGGTTTGGGTCTAGACCACGTGGAGCTGGTGAAGAGGACCATGGCGTCTCTGTCCTTCCCGTCCCTCGGAGTCCCGCCCTGGGCCCAGCAGATCTCAGACGACCAGTGGAAAGACCTGGTCCAGACCACCCTCCAGAGGCACCAGAAGAAATGAACCTGGACCAGGACCAGGACTAAACCAGGACTAAACCAGGACTAAACCAGGACTAAACCAGGACTAAACCAGGACTGAACCAGGACTGAACCAGGACTAAAACTGGACCAGGACCATGGGACAGAACTACACTACACTTAAAAAAACTTTAAACTGAACTTTTTTGATTTTAAGTTTGTGCTGAAGAAAAAACGAGTTTAGAAACTTCTGCAGCAGAAAAAATGACTTTATGTATAAAAAAAAATAAAAGTTTAATAAAATAGAAGTTTGAAATGATGAAAATGTTCATTTCAGGAAACGCAGAGACTCAAATGTGACTGAATTCGAAATGTAAAAGTCTTTAAACCTGTGGAGTTCTGGTCCAGTCTTGCTCCAGGTTCTGGTTCTGGTCCAGGTCCTGGGAACCTTTGGACCAAACGTGTCGTCTCGTGTTGGTTCGTGCTGCAGATGGAGACTGGGGAGGTTCTGTCTGTGGTTCTGTTGTAAATATGATTCTGTGATTAATGTAAATATGAATAAAATTTAAACAATAAAACATTTAACACAAAAAACTGTTTTGTCTTTATTCAGACAAACACAGATCAGAGAGACGGAGGACAGACCTGAGCCTGGTCCAGACCTGAGCCTGGTCCAGACCTGAGCCTGGTCCAGACCTGAGCCTGACAACAATATAGAGACATAAACTGACATTTGTTTTGGTAAAATACAGAAAATCTGATTAAATACGACAAAACACAAAGAAAATGTGACGATACTGACTCATGTTGATCATGAATGAGCCGAGAGCAACAATTTTACATAATTTCACACTCGATTCACGATTTTATTACCAAACACCACAAACCAGGGACGTCCCAGTTTTTTATTTGGAAAATCTGGTCGCTCTACCTCAGGAGAACCTCAGGAGAACTTCAGGAGAACTTCAGGATCTCCTCGTGTTTTTTGTGTTTGAAAATTATGTGGATTTTTAAAAACATTACACATTATAATATCCATATTTACAATATTTACAATATTTACAATATTTACAATATTTACAAAAACACACGTCTGAAAACCACAGACTCTAGTCAAATACATAAATAATCTATAAATCTAAAATCATAAATGAAATGTATGAAACAAAAAACTTTAACAAAATCTGAAAAAAAAAAAAAAAAAAAACTTTAATAAAATCTGAAAGTTGAACAAAAAAAAAAAAAAAACAAAACCCCTAAACTTTAATAAAATCTGAAAGGTGAACCAAAAAACAAATAAACAACCAAAAAAACTTTAATAAAATCTAGAAGTTGAACCAAAAAAACTAACAAAAAAAACACACCACCAACAAAAAACTTTAATAAAATGAAATAAAATGTGTATGTCTGTAATTATCTGTAAATAAAGTCTGAGACGTAAACCTAAATAAACAAACAAACAGAAAAAAAAAAAAAAAACTGGACGTGATTTTGTGCGCGTGTCCATGCGTCATCACGTCGTGCGACAGAGCGAGGGGGGGCTGTGGGGGATTACCCGTGATGCCCCGCGGTAAAGATGGCGACCGCTGAGAGGATCCGTAAGTTTGTGTGAGCGCGGCTCCGAGTCCGAGCGCAGCCGCCCAGAGGAGCCCGCAGCCCGGACACAGCCTCCGCCCAGGCCCGCTGTCCCCTCCCCGCTCATCCCCGGGCCCCGAGTCCCCGCGCTGCCCGCTCTCCCCGCACCTGCTCCGGGCCTCGGTGAGTGAGCGACCGCGGAGCTCGGCTAAAGCCCGGGACAGAACCGGGACAGAACCGGGACAGAACCGGGACTAAAACAGGACTAAACCAGGGCCAAAGCTGCACTTGTAGTTTTGGTTGTTGTAAGTTTATTTTGTAGAGTTTAGTCCCGGGTAAGTCCAGGATTAGCTCTTGTTAAAGTCCTGTTTTAGTCCTGGTTCAGTCCTGTTTTAGTCCTGGTTCAGTCCTGTTTTAGTCCTGGTTCAGTCCTGCTTTAGTCCTGGTTCAGTCCTGTTTTAGTCCTGTTTTAGTCCTGGTTCAGTCCTGTTTTAGTCCTGGTTCAGTCCTGTTTTAGTCCTGGTTAAAGGTTGTATGGAGGATTTTTTTTTGTTTTTTTTGTTTCAAGTTGTCAATGATAGCATTATAGAGGTGCAGTAGCCTTGTAATTATGATGACCAAAAAAAAGAGAATAAAAATTCATCAACTCTGGACGTGGTGGGGCCAGCTAAACATTTGCCAATAGATAACGACACTGCCTCGTTATCTGTTAGCTGACAGGCTGTCAATCAAACTCCCTACGTTTCTAGCGTAACTGACCTGCCTGCGCGCCGCCGGTACGTGGTTTACGTACGACTGTCACGCAGTCCACAGACGCAAGACGCACAGACGCTGTTTACTCCACCAACGCAACAGTTCTTAGCGGCTTTTTTTGACCTATGTCTTCCTCGCAGTTTAGCACAAAGTTTGTTGCAATGGCAGACAAGAATCCAGGAGCAGTTCAGCCGCAAAAGAAAGTCCGTTTTTGAGGTCGCTGAAAGAAGAAGACAAGGGGAAAAGCAGCGAAGCCAAACTAAGGTGATTCTTGGAGATTCATTCCAGCGATGGCGCAACTGAAGCAGACGAAGGGACTAAAGACTGACGCACTGGTCGCCAAATTACTCCTGGACAGGTAACTTCTGCTTATTATGAAAACGTACTTTATTTCCAAGAGCTAGCCAAACATTTTTCAGGACATGAAAGCGATATCCTATGTCTGAAAACGTAATTTTCAAGGCAAAGAAAGAGTCCGCTTGCTGCTGTGTGTTGTAGCTAGTTCATTCGCACTGAATCTCCGCGCACTCTTCTCTGCACCCCTTTCCTGCTCCTGTCCCCGCTGCCCGTTCTGCTCTTCCCCCTGCTCCTCACTTCTCCGGGCACGGAATCTCTGCGCACCGCTCCCCTCTCCTCTCTCCTCTCTCCTCTCCCTCTCTCCCTGCTCCGCTCTTCTCCCTGCTCCTCACTTCTCGTCCGCGAACGAAATGTCCGCACCCCCTCCCCCGCTCCTCACTTCTCCGTCTTGCCTAACCAACACTGTAGTTAGTTGTTTACAAGTCATGTGCAGCTCACCGGCTGTAAACAAACCTGTTTCTGGCGTAAAGAGGAGGCGGGAGAAGGCGTTTCTACGTAGGAGCTGTAGGGGAGGGGGGTGGTTTCACGCATGCGCAACATTTGAAAAAGGACAAACAGTCGCTGGATTTCTCGTTCCTTGGAAAATCCTCTATACAACCTTTAAGTCCTGTTTTAGTCCTGGTTTAGTCCTGGTTAAGTCCTCAGAACTTCTTTGGTCCGGTTTGTTATGGTCTGGTTTCATGTCTAGACCTGGTCCACTTGGGTTTAGTTTTGGTCCTGGTTTAGTTCTGATCTGTGTGGTCCTGGTGTAGTTCTGGTTTACTTGTGGTTTGATCCTGGTTTAGTTTTGGTTCAGTCCAGATTTAGACCTGATCCTTGCCCAGGTCTGGGTCCTGGTCTGAGTTCTTGTTTAGTCCTGGTTTAGCCTTTGTTTTATCAATCAATCAATCAAACTTTATTTATTGAGCACTTTTCACATAAAAATGCAACACAAAGCGCTTTTTACTACTGGTTTAGACCTGGTTTAGTCCTGGTTTTAGACCTGGTTTTAGTCCTGGTTTTAGTCCTGTTTTAGTCCCGGTTTGGACCCGGTTCAGTCCTGGTTTAGTCCTGGTTCAGTCCTGGTTTAGACCTGTTTTAGTCCTGGTTTAGACCTGTTTTAGTCCTGGTTTAGACCTGTTTTAGTCCTGGTTTAGTCCTGGTCTTGCTCTGGTCTCTGTTGGTGTTTTGTTTCACAGTGACTCAGGTTTTCCTTTGGTCTCAGGTGTCTCAGACCAGAGACCGGATCCAGTCTGGACCCGACTCTGACCCTCTCCTCCTCTGACCCTCTCCTCCTCTGACCCTCTCCTTCTCCTCTGACCCTCTCCTCCTCTGACCCTCTCCTTCTCCTCTGACCCTCTCCTCCTCTGACCCTCTCCTCTTCTGACCCTGACCCTCTGACCCTCTCCTTCTCCTCTGACCCTCTCCTCTTCTGACCCTGACCCTCTGACCCTCTCCTCCTCTGACCCTCTCCTCCTCTGACCCTCTCCTCCTCTGACCCTCTCCTCTTCTGACCCTCTCCTCTTCTGACCCTGACCCTCTGACCCTCTCCTCCTCTGACCCTCTCCTCCTCTGACCCTCTCCTTCTCCTCTGACCCTCTCCTCTTCTGACCCTCTCCTCTTCTGACCCTCTCCTCCTCTGACCCTCCTCCTCTGACCCTCTCCTCCTCTGACCCTCTCCTTCTCCTCTGACCCTCTCCTCTTCTGACCCTCTCCTCTTCTGACCCTCTCCTCCTCTGACCCTCTCCTCCTCTGACCCTCTCCTCCTCTGACCCTCTCCTCTTCTGACCCTGACCCTCTGACCCTCTCCTCCTCTTCTGACCCTCTGTTCTTGGATCGTTCAGAAGTTGTTGATTCGATATATTTCAAATCGATTCGATACGGTTCAATAAAAATAAAGTGTAAATCGTGTGAGACACAAAAAGTCTTTGTTAAATCACGTCTTGTGCAAAGTTCATCTGAAACACAAACATTTAAATCATCAAAACAGAGAAAATATCAAATGTCCTGGTTTAGACCTGGTTTAGTCCTGGTTTAGACCTGGTTTAGTCCTGGTTTAGTCCTGGTTTAGTCCTGGTTTAGACCTGGTTTAGACCTGGTTTAGACCTGGTTTAGTCCTGGTTTAGTCCTGGTTTAGACCTGGTTTAGTCCTGCTTTAGTCCTGCTTTAGTCCTGGTTTAGACCTGGTTTAGACCTGGTTTAGTCCTGGTTTAGACCTGGTTTAGACCTGGTTTTAGACCTGGTTTAGTCCTGGTTTAGACCTGGTTTAGTCCTGGTTTAGTCCTGGTTTAGACCTGGTTTAGACCTGGTTTTAGACCTGGTTTAGACCTGGTTTAGACCTGGTTTTAGTCCTGGTTTAGTCCTGGTTTAGTCCTGGTTTAGTCCTGGTTTTAGACCTGGTTTAGACCTGGTTTAGACCTGGTTTAGTCCTGGTTTAGACCTGGTTTAATCCGGGTTTAGTCCTGGTTTAGTCCTGTTTTAGACCTGGTTTAGACCTGGTTTAGACCTGGTTTAGTCCTGGTTTTAGACCTGGTTTAGTCCTGGTTTTGGTCCTAACACTGTCGATGCTCCACTTCCTGAATCAATCAATGCTCTCAGCCCCAGGACCAACCCAGAACTCAACCAGGACTAAACACAGACCGACCCAGAACTCAACCAGGACTAAACACAGACTGACCCAGAACTCAGCCGGGACTGAAAGTGGACTAGATTAGGACCAGGGTCTGGATTCTGTTTTTGTTCATGAAACGTGAGTTTAAACTTTACCTGGTTCAGTTCTGATTTAAACCCTGACCTGGTTTAGACCTGGTTTAGTCCTGGTTTAGTCCTGGTTTTAGTCCTGGTTTTAGTCCTGGTTTTAGTCCTGGTTTAGTCCTGGTTTAGTCCTTAGTCCTGGTTTAGTCCTGGTTTTAGTCCTGGTTTAGTCCTGGTTTAGTCCTGGTTTAGTCCTGGTTTAGACCCTGACCTGGTTTAGTCCTGGTTTTAGTTCTGGTTTTAGTCCTGGTTTTAGTCCTGGTTTTAGTCCTGGTTTAGTCCTGGTTTTAGTCCTGGTTTTAGTCCTGGTTTTAGTCCTGGTTTAGTCCTGGTTTAGTCCTGGTTTTAGTCCTGGTTTTAGTCCTGGTTTAGTCCTGGTTTTAGTCCTGGTTTAGTCCTGGTTTAGTCCTGGTTTAGTCCTGGTTTAGACCCTGACCTGGTTTAGTCCTGGTTTTAGTTCTGGTTTAGACCTGGTTTAATTCTGGTGTAGTCCTGGTTTAGACCCTGACCTGGTTTAGTCCTGGTTTAGTTCTGCTGTAGTCCATGTGGAAGTATTGACCCAGTGTCCCCTCAGTCCCTCCCCCAGAACAGAGCCCCGAGGTGGGCATCGAGCGAGCCCTGGTCCCACTGTGCTCTAGTCCTGGTTTAGACCTGGTTTAGACCTGGTTTAGTCCTGGTTTAGTCCTGGTTTAGTCCTGGTTTAGTCTTGTTTTTTATTTTTTTCGTTAAATGTTTTTTCTCTCTCAGGATTAAGGAGCCGAGGACAGAGGAGACGAGGAGGAAGGAGACGAGGAGCTAGGAGATGAGTGCGGCGGCGAGGAAGCCGTACCGCAAAGCCCCGCCCCAACACCGAGAGACACGCCCCGCCCACCACCAGCCCGTCGCCCCGCCCCCTGATGTCCCACAGGTAACAAGCCCCGCCCCCTGATGTCCCACAGGTAACAAGCCCCGCCCCCTGATGTCCCACAGGTAACAAGCCCCGCCCCCTGATGCACTTCAAGACCCAGTTTGGTCTTTGTTTGGTCCTGATGTTGATCTTGATCCTGGTCTTGATCTTGGTCTTGGTCCTGGTTTAGTCTTGGTCCTGGTTTGATCTTGGTTTAGTCGTGGTCTTGATCCTGGTCCTTGTCCTGGTCCTTGTCCTGGTCCTTGTCTTGGTCCTGGTCCTGGTCCTGGTCTTGGTCTTGGTCCTGGTCCTTGTCCTGGTTCTGGTCCTTGTCCTGGGTTGGTTTCGGTCTTAGTCCTGGTATTGGGTTTGAGGAGGTCTGAGGCTCGTTCTGTCTGTGTGAATGTATGAATGTGTCTGTGTGACTGTTGACGTGTGAATGTGTCTGTGTGACTGTTGACGTGTGAATGTTGACGTGTGAATGTTGACGTGTGAATGTGTCTGTGTGAATGTTGACGTGTGAATGTGTCTGTGTGAATGTTGACGTGTGAATGTTGACGTGTGAATGTTGACGTGTGAATGTGTCTGTGTGAATGTTGACGTGTGAATGTTGACGTGTGAATGTTGACGTGTGAATGTTGACGTGTGAATGTGTCTGTGTGAATGTTGACGTGTGAATGTTGACGTGTGAATGTGTCTGTGTGTATGTTGACGTGTGAATGTTTGTTTGTTTGTTTGTTTGATCTGGAGGACGCTGCATTTGTTGTTTTTCGTCTTTAATTTTGAAAATCACCAGTGTTTAGTTTCCTCCTCTCTTTGGTTCCTTCCTCGTCTCCTTGTGTCCTTGTCTTCTCGCTCCCTCAGTTCTCCGACAGCGATGACATCATCAGTGATGTCAGCAGCGACGCGTTCGAGCGTAGCCCCGCCCCTCGAAGCGGACGGGCCAGTCAGACGCTGTCGCCGAGAGGAATACTCAAGCGTCCAATGGGAGCGCGGCGAGACTGCGAGGTCATCAGGAGGGCGCGGTCGGCCGAGCCCCTCGACCAATCGCGGCGCGGCTCGTTTTCTCGCTCTGGGGAGCCGAAGGTGACGCATGCGCCCCCCCGGAGTCCTGCCCTGGAGTCACACCCACACTCCTCCTCCTCTTCCTCCTCTGTTCACGTTCTAAAGGTTCTAAGAGAATGTTCCACTGCGTTTCTGAAGCTCGCGTGTCCCCAAGCGTCGCATGACCCCGCCCCCTCTGTCCCCGCCTCCCCGGCCCGCCGCCTCCGCAGAGATGAGCCTTAAACTCACCTTTGCCCGCCCCTCGGTTGCCCCCCCCCTCCCCCCGTTTGCCCCGCCCCCCGTTTGCCTGCGTTCAGTTTCGTTGTTTTTTGTTGTTCGTCTTTAAAGTCTCAGATTCTTTCACCAAAATCATCATCATGTTTCAAATAAAAAATCCCAGATGATTTAATAAACAAAATTAAAATAAAACTCTGGTCTTTTGTGCTGCGTGACCTGGTGCTCTGACCTGGTGCGTGACCTGTGACCTGGTGCATTGGTGTTGCGGTGGTTGTAGCGCCCCCTGGAGCAGCTGGTTTACGATAAACTTCGCTTCTCTCACTTCCTGGACGACGTCACGTGTCGCGTGCTAAGCCCCGCCCACCTGCAGTCGCTCGGCCGGAAGCGAGCCCCGCCCCCGAAACCCCGTGACCGCCGCCGTCAGCACGAAACGCCACGAGACCACGAGCGGCGCCAGAGGTGGGACGAACGCGTCGCCTCACTGAGTAGGCGAGGAGAGGACACGAGGAAGGACGCGAGGAAGGAAACGAGGAAGGAGACAAGGAAGGAGCTAGGACGCACGGTGAGGAGAGGAGACGAGGAAGGAGGAGAAAAGGAGGCAGGAGCTAGGAAGATCTGTGAGGAGAGGAGACAAGGAGCTAGGATGCACAGTGAGGAGAGGAAACGAGAGAATACGAGGAACTAGGATGGTGAGGAGATGAGCGGTAAGGAAACGAGGAAAGACATAGGGTGAGTGGAGAAGAGACTAGGAAGGAGCTAGGACACAAGGTGAGGAAAGGAGACGAGGAGCTAGGATGCATGGTGAGGAGAGGAGATGAGGAAGGAGCTAGGACGCGAGGTGAGGGACAGAGGAGTCCTAAAATGGCGTCTGTGAACTTCCCGTGTCCATCGCTCTGCTTCATCCTCAAACTCCACCCACATCTTGATTTGGACTTGGACTCGGTCTGGACCCAGGTCCTGGTCTGGTCCTGGTTTTGGGCGGGTCTTTAGTCCTCCCCCGTGTGTCCTGTGCTCGTCCCTCTCACCAGGAGGTTGTGGGTTTGATTCCTGGTCTGTGGCAGAGTGGGTTTGGTCTTCAGGAGGTTGTGGGTTTGATTCCTGGTCAATGGCAGAGTGGGTTTGGTCTTCAGGAGGTTGTGGGTTTGATTCCTGGTCTATGGCAGAGTGGGTTTGGTCTTCAGGAGGTTGTGGGTTTGATTCCTGGTCTGTGGCAGAGTGGGTTTGGTCTTCAGGAGGTTGTGGGTTTTATTCCTGGTCTGTGGCAGAGTGGGTTTGGTCTTCAGGAGGTTGTGGGTTTGATTCCTGGTCTGTGGCTGAGTGGGTTTGGGCTCGTGGAGGTTGTGGGTTTGATTCCTGGTCTGTGGCAGAGTGGGTTTGGTCTCCAGGAGGTTGTGGGTTTGAGTCCTTTTGTGTGGCAGAGTGGGTTTGGTCTCGTGGAGGTTGTGGGTTTGATTCCTGGTCTGTGGCAGAGTGGGTTTGGTCTCCAGGAGGTTGTGGGTTTGAGTCCTTTTGTGTGGCAGAGTGGGTTTGGTCTCGTGGAGGTTGTGGGTTTGATTCCTTGTCTGTGGCAGAGTGGGTTTGGTCTCGTGGAGGTTGTGGGTTTGATTCCTGGTCTGTGGCAGAGTGGGTTTGGTCTCCAGGAGGTTGTGGGTTTGAGTCCTTTTGTGTGGCAGAGTGGGTTTGGTCTCGTGGAGGTTGTGGGTTTGATTCCTTGTCTGTGGCAGAGTGGGTTTGGTCTTCAGGAGGTTGTGGGTTTGATTCCTGGTCTGTGGCAGAGTGGGTTTGGTCTTCAGGAGGTTGTGGGTTTGATTCCTGGTCTGTGGCTGAGTGGGTTTGGTCTCGTGGAGGTTGTGGGTTTGATTCCTGGTCTGTGGCAGAGTGGGTTTGGTCTTCAGGAGGTTGTGGGTTTGATTCCTGGTCTGTGGCTGAGTGGGTTTGGTCTCCAGGAGGTTGTGGGTTTGAGTCCTTTTGTGTGGCAGAGTGGGTTTGTCCGTGGAGGTTGTGGGTTTGATTTCCTGGTCTGTGGCAGAGTGGGTTTGGTCTCCAGGAGGTTGTGGGTTCGGTTCTTGACGGTGTTGTGTGTGTTTCAGGAGCCGGTGTCGGAGTCGGAGCGGGTCAGGTCAGTACACGTTCTGTTTACTCTGTTCTTCAGTGGAGCAGTTTAGTTTATTTGTTTGTTTGTTTGTTTGTTTTCAGGATGCTGGAGGCGCAGAACGAGGAGCTGCGGCGGCGTCTCTCTTTGTCCAATCAGAGGACAGAGGCTCTGGGGGCGGAGCTGGACTCCTGCAGACACTACATGGAGGCGGAGCTTAACCGCACCCGAGACGACCTGGACAAGATGAGGGACAAGTTCAGGAGGTGAGACCTGCTCCAGACACAGGACACGCTGAAGGAGTTTAGATCATGAAGGTTCCTGAGGTTCCTCCTGCAGAACATCACAAAACTGAAGAGAACAAATGAACCTCCAGACTCAGACTTAAGTTCAGACAGAAATCGCATCATGATCGTAGGGGAGGATTTGTCGGTGGGCGTGAGCGCGGCGTCCCGCGGCGTCCCGCGGCGTCTGGCGTCGTCGCTTTGGTGGAGGAGGAAGTTCAGTGTGACCTGCACCTTTAATGTTTGTTAGATTTTAGAACATTTCACTGGTCACGTTCGTCTGTGTGCAGAGTGACACAGCAGAGTCCTGGACACTAAAAGAACTCATCTAACTTTTGTCTCCTCATTTCCTTTCTCCTCATCTCCTCTCTCCTCATCTCCTCTCTCCTCGTCCCCTCTCTCCTCATCTCCTTGTCCCCTCTCTCCTTGTGTCCTCGTCTCCTCATCCCTTCATCTCCTTGTCTCCTCCTCTCCTCTCTCCTTGTCTCCTCTCCTCTCTCCTCTCCTCGTCTCCTCTCCCCCTCTCTCCTTGTCTCCTCATTTCCTCTCCTTGTCCCCTCTCTCCTCGTCCCCGCATCTCCTTGTCCCCTCTCTTTGTCTCCTCTCTCCTCGTCTCCTTGTCCCCTCTCTCCTTGTGTCCTCGTCCCCTCTCTTCTCATCTCCTCATCCCCTCTCTCCTTGTGTCCTCGTCCCTTCATCTCCTTGTCTCCTCCTCTCCTCATTTCCTTTCTTCTCATCCCCTCGTCTCCGCTCTCCTCGTCCCCTCTCTTCTCATCTCCTTGTCCCCTCTCTCCTCGTCTCCTCGTCCCCTCTCTCTTTGTCTCCTCTCTTCTTGTCTCCTCATCTCCTCTCCTCGTCTCCTCATCTCCTCTCCTCGTCCCCGCATCTCCTCGTCCCCTCTCTCCTTGTGTCCTCGTCCCCTCTCTTCTCATCCCCTCTCTCCTCCTTGTGTCCTCGTCTCCTCCTCTCCTCTCTCCTTGTCCCCTCTCCTCTCTCCTCATCTCCTTGTTCCCTCTCTTCTCGTCTCCTCTCTCCTCATCCCCGCATCTCCTCGTCTCCACTCTCTTTGTCTCCTCTCTCCTCATCTCCTCGTCCCCTCTCTCCTCATCTCCTCTCTCCTTGTCTCCTCTCCTTGTCTCCTCTCTTCTCATCTCCTCGTCCCCGCATCTCCTCATCCCCTCTCTCCTCCTTGTGTCCTCGTCTCTCTCCTCCTCTCCTCTCTCCTTGTCTCCTCTCCTCTCTCCCCATCTCCTTGTCCCCTCTCTCCTCATCTCCTCTCTCCTTGTCTCCTCATCTCCTCGTCCCCTCTCTCCTCATCTCCTTGTCCCCTCTCTCCTCGTCTCCTCTCTCCTTGTCTCCTCATCTCCTCGTCCCCTCTCTCCTCATCTCCTTGTCCCCTCTCTCCTCGTCTCCTCTCTCCTCATCCCCGCATCTCCTCGTCCCCTCTCTCCTCATCTCCTCATCTCCTCATCCCCTCTCTCCTCCTTGTGTCCTCGTCTCCTCCTCTCCTCTCTCCTTGTCTCCTCTCCTCTCTCCCCATCTCCTCGTCTCCTCTCTCCTCGTCTCCTCTCTCCTTGTCTCCTCATCTCCTTGTCCCCTCTCTCCTCGTCTCCTCTCTCCTCATCCCCGCATCTCCTCATCTCCTCTCTCCTTGTCTCCTCATCTCCTCTCTCCTTGTCTCCTCTCCTTGTCTCCTCTCTTCTCATCTCCTCGTCCCTTCTCTCCATGTGTCCTCGTCTCCTCATCTCCTTGTCTCTCCTTGTCCCCTCCTCTCCTCTCTCCTTCTCTCCTTGTGTCCTTGTCTCCTCAGGCTGCAGAACAGTTACACGGCGTCTCAGAGAACCAATCAGGATCTGGAGGAGAAACTTCACGCGCTGGTGAGAACCAAACACACGGACGCTGAGGGCTGAGACGTGGAAACACTGGGTCCTGGTTTAGTTCTGGTTCAGTCCTGGTTCAGTCCTGGTTTAGTCCTGGTTTAGACCTGGTTTAGTCCTGGTTTAGTCCCTGTTGAGTTTTTGTTTTCTTCTGTTTTGCTGCTGGACCTTCTCAGGCGGCCGTCAGTCAGACCTGGGTCCACGCTGTCGGTGTCACTCACACATAACCCCGCCCCCTCACACATAACCCTGCCCCCTCACACATAACCCTGCCCCCTTATACATAACCCCGCCCGTGCTCACATTTAACCCTGCCCCTCCATACCCTGCTCATTTTAGAACCATTATTACAGTCATCTGAACACCAGGTCCTGGTTTAGTCCTGGTTTAGTCCTGGTTTAGTCCTGGTTTAGTCCTGGTTTAGTCCTGTTTCAGACCTCCTTCCTGTAGAAAAGTGTTAATGAGATTACTTTTTTTTTTGTGGCCTAAAGCGTCTTCAGTTTTCTCGTCTCTCGTTTCTGGTGCCTCGTTTCTCGTTTTTGTTTTTCTGTTTCTCGTTTTTGTTTTTTCGTGTCTCGTTTCTCGTGGGAGTGGAATAATCTCTCTTGTTCACTGGAGCAGATCTCGGTTTAATTTTGTTCTTGATTCAGACGTTTTTTTACACAAATGGATAAAGTCGTGTGTTTTTTCTGGAACTTCCCTGTGATTGGTTAGATCCAGCTGTCAATCACCCAGAGTTTTACAGAGGCCGACCAATCAGAGGAGGGGGGCGGGTCCGACCAGACGTGAACCAGCCGATCGTCACGGAAACGAGCGCACGATTCTGTTTGTATCGCTGCGTCGCGTACGAGTCCGATCAGATGAGACCAGATGAGACCAGATGAGACCAGATGAGACCAGATGAGACCAGATGAGACCAGATGAGACCAGATGAGACCAGATGAGACCAGATGAGACTTGGTGTTCAGATGAAGCGCTGATAAGACCCTTTAGCGCTTTAGCGGCTGTTAGCATTAGCGGCTGTTAGCTCTGCTGTTAGCTTTAGCTCCTGCTGTTAGCTTGAGTGGCTGTGTTGGCGTCATGTGACTGAGCGGTCACATGGTTCAGGCTGTAGACGCTGTGGCGACGCTCAAACAAACATGTTAAAGTGTTAAAACTGTCTCCTAACGATGTTCCTCTCTCTGTCCCGCCGCTCATGATGTCACTGACCCTCTGATGATGTCACTGACCCTCTGATGATGTCACTGACCCTCTGATGATGTCACCGGCCCCCTGATGATGTCACTGGCCCCCTGATGATGTCACTGGCCCCCTGATGATGTCACCGGCCCCCTGATGATGTCACCGGCCCCCTGATGATGTCACCGGCCCCCTGATGATGTCACCGGCCCCCTGATGATGTCACTGGCCCCCTGATGATGTCACAGCTGAGGAAGGTGGAGCGGGACAAAAAGACGATGGACCAGGAGCTGGTGGAGCTCACCAACAAACTGCTGGACGCCAAAGGAACCATCGACCGACTCGAGGAACTCAACGTGAGTCTGACCTGAACAAGAACAGGTCTAGAACAGGTCTAGAACACATCTAGAACACGTTTAGAACACGTCTAGAACACCCGCACGAACTAGTGGCCGACTGAAGAGCTGAACATGAGTTTGACCGTTATAAATGTGTTATAAATGTGTTATAAACGTGTTTTTGCTCATAACACATGAACCGAACTCCTGCACACTCTAGTAGTTGCACTCACACTCTGCCTCAGTCCCTGAGGGGGCGACAGGTGCAACAGTGGGTGGCAGGGGGCGGCAGGTGCAGCAGGGGTCTGGTTTGGCTGTACTGTCAGGACTGTAATAGTTCAAATGCTCTTTTATACTGTGTATACTTTTATAAAGTGTTTTTAATTTATGATGTTTGTGTTTCTGTGTGTGTGTGTGTGTGTGTGTGTGTATGTGTGTTGTATGTGTTGTGTGTGTTGTTGTGTTGTGTGTGTGTGTGTGGTGTATGTGTATGTGTGTTGTGTGTGTGTGTGTTGTGTGTTCAGGAGCGTTATCGTCAGGATTGTAATCTGGCCGTGCAGCTGCTCAAGTGCAACAAAAGCCACTTCAGGAACCACAAGTTTGCAGATGTAAATATGATACACACAAATATACACACAAACACAACACACACACATACACACACACACACAACACAACACACACAACACAACACACACACACATATACACACAAACACACAACACACACTCTCTCTCATGTGTGGTGTTGTTGTTGTTGTTGCAGCTCCCCACTGAGCTCCAGGACATGCTCCACAAACACATGAAGAACTCACTCCCAGAACACAGCGCCCCGGACAAGGTCTGGACCAGGACCGAGACCAGGACCATGACCACGACCAGGACTGAACCAGGACCAAGACCAGGACCACGACCACGACCACGACCACGACCAGGACTGAACCAGAACCAGGACCAAGACCAGGACCACGACCACGACCAGGACTGAACCAGAACCAGGACCACGACCAGGACCAGGACCACGACCAGGACTGAACCAGGACCACGACCACGACCAGGACTGAACCAGAACCAGGACCACGACCAGGACCACGACCAGGACCAGGACTAAACCAGGACCAGGACTAAAACCAGGACCAGAACCAGGTCTAACCCAGGTCTATCCCCGTGTCTGGTGCAGGACCCAGACTCGTTGAGCCTGACGCCGGCGGACGTGGTCCCGACCTCGGTCATCGCCAGAGTCCTGGAGAAACCGGAGCCGCTGCTGCTAAACTCCGCCCACTCGCGCAGCAGCCGGCCAGTCGCAGAGGACGTCTTTGTGCACGTGGACATGACGTCGTCGGACGCGCAGCCCAACGGAGCCAATCACGCGGCGGCCGGGTCCCCCCCGTGAGTCCATCCGCCCTGCCCCCCACGGCGTCCAGGAGGGCATCTGGAGTAAACTTTGTCTCTCTCTCTCCGCAGCCTGAGCGGGCGGCAGAACGGCTCGCCCCGCCCCCTCGCCGAGTCCCTCGAAGACGTCTCCGTGTCCAAACTGAACCCGTACCCGGCCCCGCCCCCCCCGCTGCAGGCCCCACCCCCTCACGCCCTCTACCCGGGCCGAAAGGTCATCGAGTTCTCGTCGGACGACCGCGTGAAAATCCCCAAGAACAGCCCCCTCCCCAACTGCACGTACGCCACGCGCCAGGCCATCTCGCTCAGCCTGGTGGAGAGCCCCGCCCCCTCCGCCGCCTCACACCGCGCCTCAGCCAATCAGAGAGAGGCCATGAGCGAGCCGCTGTCCAGCCAGAGCAGCCCCTTCAGCAGCCCCCCACAGGTACTACAGTACTGCAGTACTCAAGTACTAGTACTAACTACAGTACACCCCCCCAGGTACTACAGTACTCAAGGACTGTAGTACCTGGGGCCTAGTGTTATATATTTGTGTTTTATTACAGTTTTATGTATTATTTATAATAATCATGTGACTGACGGCGGCGTTTGTGTCGTTGAGGCTCTGAGCGGCGGCCCGAGCTCCGGCAGTTCGGAGGAGGACCTGCTCAACTCGTGGCAGAGAATGTTCGTGGACAAAATGGCGCCGTCGGACGCGCTGCACCGCACGGCCTTCAGCAGCCAATCGGTGCGCGAGCTGCAGCGCCGGGGCGGGGCTTACTCTGACGGAGAGGAGGTCTCGTCCAATCAGAGCTGGACTCCGAGCCGAGGGTCCAGTCTGGACACGGACACGGACCCGGAGACCAGACCGAGACCCAGCGAAGACCTGCTCCTCCTGAAAGACCCCAACCCCCCCAGGTGAGTCCCAGCCGGATCTCAACCAGACTACAGGCCCCGAGCAGGTCTACGCCAGGATCCTAACTGGTCTACAGGAGGATCAAAGAGAGACCAGACCAGAACCAGGACCACATGGAAGACTAAACCTGGTCTAGTCCCGGTCTTAACCCGGTCTGTGGTCTTGTTTTGGTCCTGGTCTAGTCCCGGTCTTAACCCGGTCTGTGGTCTTGTTTTGGTCCTGGTCTAGTCCCGGTCTTGACCCGGTCTGTGGTCTTGTTTTGGTCCTAGTCTAGTCCCGGTCTTAACCCGGTCTGTGGTCTTGTTTTGGTCCTGGTGTAGTCCCGGTCTTAACCCGGTCTGTGGTCTTGCTTTGGTCCTGGTCTAGTCCCGGTCTTAACCCGGTCTGTGGTCTTGTTTTGGTCCTGGTCTAGTCCCGGTCCTAACCCGGTCTGTGGTCTTGTTTTGGTCCTGGTCTAGTCCCGGTCTTAACCCGGTCTGTGGTCTTGTTTTGGTCCTGGTCTAGTCCCGGTCTTAACCCGGTCTGTGGTCTTGTTTTGGTCCTGGTCTAGTCCCGGTCTTAACCCGGTTTGTGGTCTTGTTTTGGTCCTGGTCTAGTCCCGGTCTTAACCCGGTCTGTGGTCTTGTTTTGGTCCTGGTCTAGTCCCGGTCTTAACCCGGTTTGTGGTCTTGTTTTGGTCCTGGTCTAGTCCCGGTTCGCTCTTGGACTCGTCGCTGATGTTGGGCGACCCCGAAATGGCCGACAGGAAGTGTCTCCATGACGACGACGAGGAGGAGAGGGACGTCCTTCCCGTGGACCTGCCAATCATCTGTCCCCGCCTCCTGGACCCCGCTCAGCCAATCAGCTCGCAGCACCCGGCCCCCGCTCCACAGCGCCCCCCGAAGAGCCCCAAGCGCATGGGCGTCCACCACCTGCACCGCAAAGACAGCCTGACCCGCGCCCAGGAGCAAGGCACTCTGCTCGACTGAACCCACAACCCACTGACCCGCACTCAGGAGCAAGGCACTCTGCTGGACTAGAACCCCCAACCCCACTGACCCACTGACCCGCGCCCAGGAGCAAGGCACTCTGCTGGACTAGAACCCCCAACCCCACTGACCCGCGCCCAGGAGCAAGGCACTCTGCTGGACTAGAACCCCCAACCCCACTGACCCGCGCCCAGGAGCAAGGCACTCTGCTGGACTAGAACCACCAACCCACTGACCCGCGCCCAGGAGCAAGGCACTCTGCTGGACTAGAACCCTCAACCCCACTGACCCACAGACCCCATGCCGACGAGCAAAGCACGCTCTGGACTAGGACCCCCAACCCCCCAGGCCCAGGAGCAAGGCACGCTCTAGACTGAACCCCTGACCCCGAGCCCACGGGCAACACACTCTCTGGACTAGAACCCCCGACCCCACGAGCAAGGCACTCTGCTGCACGATGAACCTGAATGTTTAAATTTTCTGACCCAGGACTCGAACCAGAGACCCTCTGGTGTGAGTGCGAGGGCTAACCACTCTGCCACTGTGCTGCTGAACAAGCCCCGCCCCCTATCCTGTCACTCACACAGGCCCCGCCCTCATAAGCCCCGCCCCGTCTCCTGTCACTCACACAGACCCCCCGCCCTCCTAAGCCCCACCCTCTCCCCCGTCAATCACACAAGCCCCGCCCCCTCTCCTGTCACTCAAACTTTAGCCCCGCCCCTGAGTCTCAAACAGGAAATGATCTCACAGGATTTAAATTTAAATTTCATGATTTAAACTTTTCTTTTAGTTTTTGAAGCGTTTTTTAAAGTTTTAATTTAATGTAACCTGAGTTTAGTTTAATTTTAGACTTTTAATGAGACGTGTTTATGAACGCTACTTTTACTTTTGACTGTTTTCGATTTGAATGTTTCTGCAGAGGCCTGACGGAGCCGCGATCCCGACTCTCGATCCACAACCTGAATCTGGAACTTTCCACGATGGACGAGACTCTAATCGCATTTTTAAAATTAAATTACACAAATTACTAAACGATTTATAAAAAGTAAAAGAGAAAATAGAGCGTTGTCTCGACGGAAGAAAACCGGGACATTTTCTCAGTTTTCCCAAATTTGGTCAGAGATCCTTTCACCAGGATCCGCCGCGTCTCGATGTTTTAGACTCGTTGTAGATGAGGTGTTTTCCCAAAGTCTGGAATAAGAGGAAGTCGAAACATGCAGATCTGTTTCCAAACATCTGACGCTTTTGTGACGCATGAACCTACGGAAGCCGAGAGGGGCCACAACAAACGCAAACACCGCAACAAACACAAAAGCCACAACACAACAAAAAGCCACAACAAAACAAAAAGGAAAGCCACAACGGAAATGACCGCGGGACTCTATTTTAATGCAAACGCCGCAACAAATACAAATGCCACAACACATTAAAAAGCTGCAACACGTTAAAAAGCCGCAACACGTTAACAAAGCCGCAACACGTTAACAAAGCCGCAACACGTTAACAAAGCCGCAACACGTTAACATAGCCGCAACACGTTAACAAAGCCGCAACACGTTAAAAAGCCGCAGCACGTTAAAAAAGCCTCAATACGTTAAAAAGCCGTAACACATTTAAAAAAGCCACAAATGAAAAAGCCGCAACACGTTAAAAAGCCACAACACATCGAAAAACGCCGCAACATGTTAAAAAGCCGCAACATGTTAAAAAGCCACAACATGTTAAAAAGCCACAACACGTTAAAAAGCCACAACACGTTAAAAAGCCACAATGGAAGTGACTGCGGGACTAGATTTTCCGACGGACCGATCAGATTTCATTGTTTCACGTTGTAGTTGTTCTTCACTTGCCGCTTGATCGGTCCGTCGGAAAATAGAGTCCCGCGGTCACTTCTGTTGTGGCATTTTAATGTGTTGTGGCATTTCCGTTTGTGTTGTGGCGTTTGCATTAAAATAGAGTCCCGCGGTCATTTCCGTTGTGGCTTTTTTTTGGTTTGTTGTGGCTTTTTGTTGTGTTGTCGCATTTGTATTTGTTGCGGCGTTTGCGTTTGTTGTGGCCCCTCTCGGCTTCCGTAGTGAACAGAACAAACTGTTTAAAGAAAGAGGGTTTTAATCTCATAGTGGTATCGGTATCGGTATCGAGTCTGTTCCGTAGAATCGCAGACGCGGCACTGACTCTTCACTCACTCTTCGTTTTGGCTTCGTCAGGCCTCCGTACTTCTGTCTGTCTGTCGTGTTTTTAACCAACAACACTGCACTTTTCACCACCGAGCCGCCTGATTGGCCGCTCCCCTCCGGACGAGCCGCCTGATTGGCCGCTCCCCTCCGGACGAGCCGCCCGATTGGTGGATTATTCGTGGATGTATTTAGCACCGATCACAGCCTGAATCACTAATGTATCGACACAGGATTGGACAGGGCCGGTGCATTGTGGGAAACGCGGTCCGGCGCCGTGTTTCCCAGCATGCACCGCGCGCTGAACCCACAGGTCACAGATTGTACCCTCTGACCTCTGACCCCTGCTGTAACGTGTCACTTCCTGTTCGGACTGTTAGAGACGAATGCGTTTATTTTGTAAACGAGTATTTTAAAACAAATTAAATATTTTAAACTTTAGCCCCGCCTCCTGTTCTCTCTCTCTGCTCTCATTGGCTCTTCTCTCTGCATCTGGGTTTAAAGCTGCACTCTGGAACTTTTCTGGAGGAGGCTCCGTCAGACACTTCTCCATGGAGATGTTCTTGCTTTGTCTGGAATGTTCCACAGTATTAAAAGCTTTTTATCTCCACGGAGACCAAACCAGACCAAGTTCCAGGTCAGATCTGTGAGGAGGCGACGCCGCTCACAGGAGGAATGTCTGTTGTTAAAGGGATTTATGAGGTTTAGTCCTGGTTTAGTCCTGGTTTAGTTCTGGTTTAGTCCTTGGATAGTCCTGGTTTAGACATGATTTAGTCCTGGTTTAGACCTGGTTTAGTTCTGGTTTAGTCCTTGGATAGTCGTGGTTTAGACCTGGTTTAGTTCTGGTTTAGACCTGGTTTAGTCCTTGGATAGTCCTTGGATAGTTGTGGTTTAGTTCTGATTTAGTCCTGGTTTAGACCTGGTATAGTTCTGGTTTAGACCTGGTTTAGTCCTTGGATAGTCGTGGTTTAGTTCTGGATTAGTCCTGGTTTAGACCTGGTTTAGTCCTGGTTTAGTCCTGGTTTAGACCTGGTTTAGTCCTGGTTTAGTCCTGGTTTAGTCCTGGTTTAGACCTGGTTTAGTTCTGGTTTAGTTCTGGTTTAAACCTGGTTTAGACCTGGTTTAGTCCTGGTTTAGACCTGGTTTAGTCCTGGTTTAGACCTGGTTTAGTTCTGGTTTAGTTCTGGTTTAAACCTGGTTTAGACCTGGTTTAGTCCTGGTTTAGTCCTGGTTTAGTTCTGGTTTAGACCTGGTTTAGTCCTTGGATAGTCCTGGTTTAGTCCTTGGATAGTCGTGGTTTAGTTCTGGATTAGTCCTGGTTTAGACCTGGTTTAGTCCTGGTTTAGACCTGGTTTAGTCCTGGTTTAGTCCTGGTTTAGACCTGGTTTAGTTCTGGTTTAGTTCTGGTTTAAACCTGGTTTAGACCTGGTTTAGTCCTGGTTTAGTTCTGGTTTAGTCCTGGTTTAGACCTGGTTTAGTTCTGGTTTAGTACTGGTTTAGACCTGGTTTAGTCCTGGTTTAGACCTGGTTTAGTTCTGGTTTAAACCTGGTTTAAACCTGGTTTAGACCTGGTTTAGTCCTGGTTTAGTCCTGGTTTAGTCCTGGTTTAGACCTGGTTTAGTCCTGGTTTAGACCTGGTTTAGTTCTGGTTTAGTCCTGGTTTAGACCTGGTTTAGTTCTGGTTTAGTACTGGTTTAGACCTGGTTTAGTCCTGGTTTAGACCTGGTTTAGTTCTGGTTTAGTTCTGGTTTAAACCTGGTTTAGACCTGGTTTAGTCCTGGTTTAGTCCTGGTTTAGTTCTGGTTTAGACCTGGTTTAGTCCTTGGATAGTCCTGGTTTAGTCCTTGGATAGTCGTGGTTTAGTTCTGGATTAGTCCTGGTTTAGACCTGGTTTAGTCCTGGTTTAGACCTGGTTTAGTCCTGGTTTAGTCCTGGTTTAGACCTGGTTTAGTTCTGGTTTAGTTCTGGTTTAAACCTGGTTTAGACCTGGTTTAGTCCTGGTTTAGTTCTGGTTTAGTCCTGGTTTAGACCTGGTTTAGTTCTGGTTTAGTACTGGTTTAGACCTGGTTTAGTCCTGGTTTAGACCTGGTTTAGTTCTGGTTTAAACCTGGTTTAAACCTGGTTTAGACCTGGTTTAGTCCTGGTTTAGTCCTGGTTTAGTCCTGGTTTAGACCTGGTTTAGTTCTGGTTTAGTTCTGGTTTAAACCTGGTTTAGACCTGGTTTAGTTCTGGTTTTCTACTGGTTTAGACCTGGTTTAGTTCTGGTTTAGTTCTGGTTAGACCTGGGTTTAGTTCTGGTTTAGTTCTGGTTTACTGGTTTAGACCTGGTTTAGACCTGGTTTAGTTCTGGTTTAGACCTGGTTTAGTTCTGGTTTAGTATTGGTTTAGACCTGGTTTAGACCTGGTTTAGTTCTGGTTTAGACCTGGTTTAGTTCTGGTTTAGTACTGGTTTAGACCTGGTTTAGTTCTGGTTTAGTATTGGTTTAGACCTGGTTTAGTTCTGGTTTAGTACTGGTTTAGACCTGGTTTAGTTCTGGTTTAGTCCTGGTTTAGTTCTGGTTTAGTCCTGGTTTAGTTCTGGTTTAGACCTGGTTTAGTCCTGGTTTAGACCTGGTTTAGTTCTGGTTTAGACCTGGTTTAGTTCTGGTTTAGACCTGGTTTAGTCCTGGTTTAGACCTGGTTTAGTCCTGGTTTAGTCCTGGTTTAGTCCTGGTTTAGACCTGGTTTAGTTCTGGTTTAGTTCTGGTTTAAACCTGGTTTAGACCTGGTTTAGTTCTGGTTTAGTACTGGTTTAGACCTGGTTTAGTTCTGGTTTAGACCTGGTTTAAACCTGGTTTAGTTCTGGTTTAGACCTGGTTTAATTCTGGTTTAGTACTGGTTTAGACCTGGTTTAGTTCTGGTTTAGTACTGGTTTAGACCTGGTTTAGTTCTGGTTTAGTTTACTGGTTTAGACCTGGTTTTAGTTCTGGTTTAGTACTGGTTTAGACCTGGTTTACTGGTTTAGTTTAGACCTGGTTTACCTGGTTTAGTCCTGGTTTAGACCTGGTTTAGACCTGGTTTAGTCCTGGTTTAGTCCTGGTTTAGACCTGGTTTAGTTCTGGTTTAGTTCTGGTTTAGTCCTGGTTTAGTTCTGGTTTAGACCTGGTTTAGTTCTGGTTTGATGAGTCGTTCAGTGAAAACCTGTGAAACGTGCGTCTGATAAAAACACAAACATGTAAACATATATTTATATTATATTATATTTATATTATATTATTTACACGTACATATAAATCTGTATGTTTATATAATATAAATATATGTTTACTTGTTTATTTAAATGTCTCAGCTCAACATGTAAAACTGTGTCAGTGTTTGTCTTATTGCTCCATCTAGTGGGAGAAAAGTGCAACAGCACAAAAATAAACGGCCGCTCAGTTTAATGTTTAATGTTTTAATGTTTTAATTCTAAACGGAGAAATAATCCGGTGTTTAAAGAATCACAAACTGAAAAGATGAACGAGGAGGAGGAGACGGTTTTACATGACACTTTAAAAGTGCACGGCGACATCGGGGTTGTTCTGGACTCTGCATCACGCACATCACGCACACACGCACACGCACATCACGCACAGCACGCACATCACGCACATCACGCACATCACGCACAGCACGCACAGCACGCACAGCACGCACAGCACGCACAGCACGCACAGCACGCACAGCACGCACAGCACGCACAGCACGCACAGCACGCACAGCACGCACACGGATCAATAACAAACATTACGCACGGGTCATTGATTACTTATTCTAATAATTCTCATCCAAATCTTATGACTAAAAACGAAAACTTATGTTTAACGAAACAAAATGGCGATATTTCTGGGATGAATATAAATCTAAAATCAGCTAAATGACCTTAAACTTAAAAAAACTGATAAGATTTGCATCATGAAATATGATCATCATTGTTACAGCGCCACACACAGGTGTGACAGGTGTATTACACCGTTTTCACTCGGCTCCGTTGTCGTCTGGATGTGAAGATTTATTGATCCGACACGTGTGCGGACAAAAAATAGATAAATAAAAATCCATGATCAGTGTTTGGCTGAAAACACTTTAACTTCACCGACTGAAAAACACTGGGAGGAGAAAAGATCATATGAACAAACTGCGCTTTTAGGCGTAAAAGTCACATCTGATACTTTGACTCTTCTTCATCACGCCCTTAAACGCGCTGCAGTTAAAATACAACAGGGCGTCTCCGGAGTGACGTCACACGCTCTTCAGACAGGTGCCACAGGAGACAGGTGTCACAGGAGACAGGTGCCACAGCGGACAGGTGTCACAGCGGACAGGTGCCACTCAGACATGATGAACGCCTCTCAGCAGCAGCAGGTTTGTCCAGAGCCGCGCGGGGACATGCCACGCAGGGAGCACGAGCTCAAGGTGAAGGTTCACCTGAAGAAGACCGGGAAAATCCGTAAATTCCGAATGAACAGGAGTGAAGTCACGTTCTCTGCGCTGAAGTCAAAAATCCTTGAGATATGCAACATCAAACTCCCGATGATCGGCATCGAAATCCAATACAAAGGTCAGATTATTATTGACTTTGAATCGGAACAATTCAATTCAAGTATTTCATTAAACTGAAGCAGACTCGTTAAATAATCAGATCACTGTGTGTGGCGAGCGTTTTTACATTTACATTACTAAGTTTGACTCCGGAATAAAAACTATAGACATAAACAACGTGTTTCCGACGAGGCGTGACGTCATTTTGGCCCGTGTGAATTGTCCTTTTAGACTCTAAGTTTGACCAGATGAAAGTTGGAGATTTCGGTAATTCAGTTTGTAGGAGCTATATGCTTATTTTGTTGAGTCTAAAATTTGTTTATTATTTTTGTTTGTTAGTTAGTTTACTAATTTAGTTTTGTTAATGTGTATAATATATTTTTGCTGTGTTAATATTATTCTTGCTAATTTCTTAGTTTAAATTGGTATTATTTACATTAGCACCTCCTTTTTGTTTTTGGTTTAATTCGAGTCACCTAGGGGATAAAAGAGGGTGGTACACGTAGACCAGAGTGACCTGGGGCCTATGGTTTTTTACCAGTCACGAGGAGAAGCAGCAGGAGTCGCCTTAAACATGTTTTCCTTGTTGTTTGCCCAAACTGGAAAATAAACCTTGGAAAATCATCTCTTGTCATGAACATTGATTTGTGCTGCGTAAACCACATACCCATGGTGCCCAAAGGTGATTATTTGAGTTATGTTTAGTTCTGAGTTTGCCCACGCTTTTGTTTGTTACTTTTATTTGACAAATAGTCACTACACAGTTTATACTGAGCAACACGGAAGTACACAAATCTGCAATGACGTCAGTGAAAACCACATTCAGCTCGTCACATCATAAATAATAATTGACATGACAATAACGTGTTATTCAGTTTTGACTCTGCTGACTGAAAGTTAAAGATCTCAAACGTCATTATGACGTCATGACGCAGAAAGTACCTCGTTGTCTGACTCCTGCACAATTCGTCCAAAAAGTCATTTGTCCCTAAAGCTAAACAACCATCAGTGTTAAAATGAGTTTTTGTCGTTTCAGTCGAGAGCATCGAGAGCAAGAACAAAAAGAACAAAAAGAACAAAAAATAAATAAAAAAAACCCTAATGTGCCTTTGGTTCTTACTGATAAATGAACTTTCCTTTTACAGCTGCAGGTCCGTGTGGAAACGCTCCCGCCTGAAGTGGATCATTTACACACAAACTCTGCGACGTCATTTCACCTCAACAAACTCCAATTCAACATCTGGAATTATATTTGGACCAGGCACAATGACATTTATAGACATCTCCAATTTCAGAAATCTCTAATCAAAATTCATTACAAGATCTCGAAAACTTGGTAAAAGAAACTGAAAACTAAATTATGACTAGTTTGGGACAGTCAGAATTTAGTTATATTTTTACAAAATCATTCAGCCCAGTCCAGATCTTCATTTACAAGATCTGAAAAGGAGCATGTAGAGATCTTCACCTGAGGTGAATTAAAGATAAATGAACTTGACTTGTCACAATCTAATTGTAGAATCTTAAACCAGAACAACAGGTATCTATAATTTTCTGTAATTTACGTTGTGAGTTTCCGTAATTATGAAACCAAACAAATGAACAGTAAAGTGTCGTCATTTGCCTGGGAGAATGTCAGTGTAATCATCTGAAATGTTCTTTTCTTTTAAATGTTAAAAGTGTTTACCAAAGCTTCTGCTCCTCAGTGTCAGGTTCCTCGTGTCCCTGTGGGACTCACGTCACATTTTGTGGTTTCCATTTGTGTTTAAATCCTCTTAAAGTTCAGATGATGATCACATGACTCAGGTCTGGTGTGTTCAGGTCTGTTTCAGACCAGAACCTTTTCTCCAGGTTCATCTGAGCGCGTCTCAAACTGTGGCTCTGGGCTCAGAGGGAGATGATGTTGTGGAGCTGTGGAGCGCAGGTGAACAGCGCCACACGGTGGTGACAGGTGGAGTAACAGTGTGTGATTTCAGATGAAGATGGAGACATGGTGCTGTGCACTTCAGACGAGGAGCTGAGCATCGCCCTGGAGGAAAGCGCCGCAAACGGGAAATTCACCATTTCAGTTTATGGTAAAATGTTTTAAAGTTGGGTTGACCTTTGACCTCTGGTGTTACACTGGGTTTAGTGAATCAAACGTATGAACAAAAAGGCTCTTTGAACTCGTCACAGAAACGTCCCGTCCTGAGACGTTTACACTTATCTGTGACGTGATTGGCCAAAACAGGAAGTGCTTCAGATCCACGGCTGTAAATGACGTCACGAGGATTTAACCAACTATAACAAATATTTATTCAACTCAAATTCTTTATGGAACTTCATTTCAACACACGGAGGTTTAAACTTTATATACTAGATTCCTTGTCACCACATGAGTGTTAAAGCTGGAAGAACACGGAGCTTTAAACACACTTAAACTTTAAAGTGTTTTCCTAAAATAAATGTTTTGACGAAGGATCGTCTTTGTACAACTGTTCAACAACAAACAAATCACTTTTCCTGTAGTGAATTTATCAGTGTTTATAATTTTCCAGTGACACCAAGAGAACGTGTGATTGTTTTTGACTCTGTTCTGGAGTGAAATCTCTGATGTTCATTCATGTTCATGATTCTGACGAAGCTCCGGCTCAGACTGAGCTGATTATTGATCTGACTCATTTAAACTTTAACACAAATAACAAAAGAGTCCAGCCTCTGTTTGTGTTTTTAACATTTACAGACATTAACTGGAACTATGTCCGGCTTTTGTCTAGAAAATATTTTATAAATAATAAAAAGGCTGTTGAGGTCTGAAGGTCCTGCAGATGTTTCTGTTGACGGCGTCACAAACATAAATCATCTTTACTCGTTTAAACTTTCCCTCGTGTCAAACGCTCAAATCTTTTGGAATGACATATTTGTGTTTGTGAATCAAAGCTTGATTCTATTTTAAATTAAATCTGCAATTTCATGTAAAACATGGACTCTTTGGTGTCGTTGAAAACATATTTCTACAAATAAATAAATGTGTTGAAGTTAATCTTATCAAACTGTCAGATCCACTGCTGTAAATTTTAAGAGTCAAAAATTCAGACTTGTATTTCAGTCGCTCTTTTCCTCTGAGATAAATTCTTTAAATTATTGCAAAAAATCCCAAAGCCCTGAAAACAAAAGCACTTTGTTTAGAATGAGATTTAAAAATGTGAAAGTGTTTATTATTTTTCTACATTTGTATGACGACGTGCGGTGAAGACATTGAGCTTGTGTCCTGTGAATATAAATCCTGAAGCCTCCAGCCTCCTGTTGATGTTTATACCACTCGGTTTTACTTTGTATATTTAAAAAAACAAACACACAGCTCCACTGACGCAGCGCCCTCTTGGTCCTTTCAGAAATCAACATCTATGACGATTTCGACTGAGCCCCGCCCCCGTGGATGACATCACAGCGGCGCCGGAGCAGAGACGCTGATCCTGCTTCTTCAGTTTGATATTATTGATTTGGAGATTTTAACTGTAAACATCTGCCAAAACCTGAAATAAACCGAAATAAACTGATACCAGACACTGAAATATGATTGTGTCTCGTCTTTATGGTCACAATGTCCACGTTTACATGAGGATTTTAATTCCAAATGAATAATTCTGAATTCAAATCTTCTCTTCTTGTTTCCATGTAAATAATAATGTTGAATTGTTGTTTTCGTGTTACACTTGAGCTGCTCCCGTCTTTTCTGTCTCTGTCTGGGTTTGTGGTTTCTCCACCGACACAAACACCATCCAGACTTTTATAACCCGCAGTGGTTCTGATGATAATTGTTGTGCAGCAGCTGGAATTGTCTCATCACACTTAAAGTTGGCAACACTGTGATTTTTGGCCCTTTTTGAGATGATTTTTCACTTGTGCGTCTGTTGTTTCTGTTTTTGGGATCAGGCCGAGTTTTGGCTTCATCTTTGTGTAGTTTACATGAGATAAAAAGAACCAATGAATCCCTCACGACCAGCTCCAGATCGACAAATGAAGGTCACAAGAAAATCAAATCTGTCTGAATCCATTTGCCTTTCGTGAGGGTTTCACTGTTGAACTCGTTTATTCAGTGTGAGAACATGAATCGTGAGCTGTGAACTTTTAAACCCTGAGGTTTGGTCGAACAGTTTGAGCTGGAGCTGAGAGAAACCATCAGAAATATCACACAGTGTAGCGTCCGACTTTATGTCTGTCGCTGAGGAGGAGAAACGAAGAAGACAAAAGCTCAGCCCACTCCCACATCCTGATCACAAATCCAAAGAGACGTGGATCAAAGTCCCGAGACACGACTGGTGGAGCCGGATCGAAGGACGACACGACGAACATGAAGCACCAGAATTATTTTAACAAGAAGAAACGACAAACAAGATCCAGGAACCAAATTCACTCAGATTTAAAATCAGAAGAAAACAAACACTTCAATATTAAGTTTAACAAATTAAGTGTTTACATCAACTTTTTAAAGAGGAATTCAGTTTTATTCAGAATTAAATCTCTCATGTAAACGTGGCGACTGAGTTCAAATCAAACTCAGAAGGTTTGTTTAGTTTGTAAAGTGTAACAGAGACAGAGCAGTGCCTGGTGTTAGCGTCACACTCTGAGCTGCTGTGTGTGTCTCACTGTAGGATCTTGACTCTGGTGGTGACGGGACATTTGTCGTGTGTTTATAAAAACAGTTGTGGAGACGTTGTAGAGTTTCAGGAGACGACGTGCTCCAGGACGCCCTGACGAATCAGCTGCTCACATTTCCACCGCGGCAGGAAGTGCTGGAGACCAAACAGGAAGTACAAACGATTACAAAACTGGAATAAAAATGAATTCCCTGAAATTTTCCTCCTGAATCTACTCAAACAACAGTAGCAGTACAGTCGCAGTACTGTCGCAGTAGTATCGCAGTACTGTCGCAGTAGTATCGCAGTACTGTCGCAGTAGTATCGCAGTACTGTCGCAGTAGTATCGCAGTACTGTCGCAGTAGTATCGCAGTACTGTCGCAGTAGTATCGCAGTACTGTCGCAGTAGTATCGCAGTACTGTCGCAGTAGTATCGCAGTACTGTCGCAGTAGTATCGCAGTACTGTCGCAGTAGTATCGCAGTAGTATCGCAGTATTATCGCAGTAGTATCGCAGTACTGTCGCAGTAGTATCGCAGTACTGTCGCAGTAGTATCGCAGTACTGTCGCAGTAGTATCGCAGTACTGTCGCAGTAGTATCGCAGTAGTATCGCAGTAGTATCGCAGTACTGTCGCAGTAGTATCGCAGTACTGTCGCAGTAGTATCGCAGTACTGTCGCAGTAGTATCGCAGTACTGTCGCAGTATTATTGCAGTAGTATCGCAGTAGTATGGCAGTAGTATCGCAGTAGTATCGCAGTACTGTCGCAGTAGTATCGCAGTACTGTCGCAGTAGTATCGCAGTAGTATTGCACAGAGGTGGTGTTACAAATGTTCCTGAGTGTCTCTAAAGGCCTCAGACTTAGAGCAGTTTGTTTTTCTCTCAATGTGACATGAAATGAGAACAGTTTTACTTTAAAACATTTTTAATCATAAGAAAAATAATCATCATAAGTAACAGATGTAAACAAAAATGTAACTGTACCAGCAAAAAAATAAAACACTTTCAGTTCTGGTTTTCTACTCGGCGACAGAAAGAATAAGACGAGTTTTTAATCCACTATAATTCAAATAAACAGAGACGTGTTTGTCTCAAGAACAACGAGGAAAAACAGACAATAAACAGATAAAAACCCCCAAAACAAAACAAAAGAGAAAAACAGTGAAGGTCCCAGACTGTAAAGTCGTGTTCTGCTCTCAGGACTCACCTGACTGTTCCTCTTCAACAGAATCACTGTTCCATCGTCAATCTCCAGCTCACCGTGATCCTTCACACACCTCACCTGAAACACAACACCTGCTTCAGTCCCGGTCGTAGTCCCGGTCGTAGTCCCGGTCGTAGTCCCGGTCGTAGTCCGGTCGTAGTCCGGTCGTAGTCCCGGTCGTAGTCCCGGTCGTAGTCCCGGTCGTAGTCCCGGTCGTAGTCCCGGTCCAGACCTGGATGTAGAGGCTCTTGGGGGGTCTGGTGTCCTGGGTGATGTCGAGTCCTTCTCCGTTTCCCAGACTCTTCATGAACGAAGCCAAAGACTTTTTATACTGAGAAAACCACTGCACCTGAAACACGACAGGACAGGGTCAAACCGCCGACAGGACAGGGTCAAACCGCCGACAGGACAGGGTCAAACCGCCGACAGGACAGGGTCAAACCGCCGACAGGACAGGGTCAAACCGCCGACAGGACAGGGTCAGTATGAGCTCCTGTCAGCTTCTGTCTACTCCTCTCATAGTACAGGACGCAGTAGTCGCAGTACGGGACGCAGTAGCTGTAGTAGTCAGTAGTATAGGACATAGTAGCTGTAGTACAGGACACAGTAGTCTCAGTACAGTCGTAGTACAGAATGCAGTATTCCGTAGTAGTCCATAGTACAGGATGTAATATTCTGTAATAGTCCGTAGTACAGGAAGTAGTAGTCTGTAGTACAGGATGTAGTAGTCTGCAGTAGTCCGAGTGCAGGATGCAGTAGTCCGAGTGCAGGATGCAGTAGTCCGTAGTAGTCCGTAGTAGTCCGTAGTAGTCCATAGTAGTCCGTAGTACCTCTTCTGCAGACATGTGGAAGCGGACATTAGGGGGCAGCACTGAGCCGTACTCCCAGCGCAGAGCTCGGATCCTCAACAGCCGGTCGTATCTGGAACATCACATCACCACGGCAACGGGTCAAAACAAGTCATCAAGTAAAAGTACTTTCACAGAATACTTGTACTGGAAATGTGTAACTGAGTACTGTATTTTTGGGACGATAAGTGTCACTTTTGTTCATGGTTTGGTAGTTTCTGTGACTTAAACTCAGGTGTGAGAGTTTGGTTAAACTTGTTCTGTTCTGTTGTTTATGTTATATTTATCTGAAGAACTGTGAAATATGTGACGTTAACAGTCTGTTGTTCTCTTCTATTGTTACCTCCGCCAAGGAGGTTATGTTTTGCCGGCGTTTGTCTGTTTATTTGTTTGTTTGTTTGTCTGTTAGCAACGTAACTCAAAAAGTTATGGACTGATTTTGATGAAATTTTCAGGATTTGTTGGAAATGTGAAAAGGAAGAACTGATTTCATTTTGGGGCTGATCCGGAAGAAATCCTGGATTCTGGATCACTTTAAAATTTTAGTTAACATTGTGGTAAATGGGGCCAAAAATTGTGTTTCTCAATATCTCGGTTAATTATTGACCAAACCCCATGAAATTTGACTCAGGGATGGACAATGGGATCTTCTTTCATATTCCAAAGGCTGATCCGGATCTGATCCAGAAGACTGATTTTATCGCAATTTATATAAAAAAATGGGGGTAGTCCTTGGCGGAGATCTGCGCTCTCTGAGTGCTTTTCTAGATTTTACTACAACTTGGTCCTTGGTCCTTGGTCCCTGGTCCAGTCCCTGGTCCAGTCCCTGGTCCAGTCCCTGGTCCAGTCCCTGGTCCAGTCCCTGGTCCAGTCCCTGGTCCAGTCCCTGGTCCAGACTCACAGATATGCAGTGAGGCAGCGTTGGTTCCGGAGGAGGCAGCAGTGTCTCAGTTTGATGGACGGGATGAGCTCGGAGCGTCCGTCCGCTTTCGCCTCGCTCCTGATAAAACAACCACCAAAAAAAGAAAAAAACACACAAATGTGAGTTTTATTTTACTATCAAAGTGAAACGCGACAACATCACATTTTATTAAACCCAGTCCCGGTCCCCTCTGTGGTACTCACACGTCGGCCTGGTTCTGCTCAAACAGCGCCTCCATCTCCTGCAGCACCTGCCTCACTCCATCCTCCTGAAACAAGACCAGACCTGGTTTAGTCCCTGGTTTAGTCCCTGGTTTAGTCCCTGGTTTAGTCCCTGGTTTAGTCCCTGGTTTAGTCCCTGGTTTAGTCCTTGGTTTAGTTCTGGTTTAGACCCGGTTTAGTCTTTGGTTTAGTCCTGGTTTAGTACCGGTTAGTCCCGGGTTAGTCCCGGGTTACTCCCCGGTTTAGTCTTTGGTTTAGTCCTGGTTTAGTCCCGGTTTAGTCCCTGGTTTAGTCTTTGGTTTAGTCTTTGGTTTAGTCTTTGGTTTAGTCTTTGGTTTAGTCCTGGTTTAGTCCTGGTTTAGTCCCTGGTTTAGTCCCGGTTTAGTCCCGGTTTAGTCCCTGGTTTAGTCTTTGGTTTAGTCCTGGTTTAGTCCTGGTTTAGTCCCTGGTTTAGTCCCGGTTTAGTCCCGGTTTAGTCCCTGGTTTAGTCTTTGGTTTAGTCCTGGTTTAGTCCTGGTTTAGTCCCTGGTTTAGTCCCGGTTTAGTCCCGGTTTAGTCCCGGTTTAGTCCCTGGTTTAGTCTTTGGTTTAGTCCCGGTTTAGTCCCGGTTTAGTCTCACGTTAAACGCGGGCAGTTGTCCGTCGTTCATTCGGTGAAGCTCCCGCACGAGCTCCAGCGCTTTCTCCCCGAACATGGCGCTGAAAAAACAACTTTAGAACACTTCAGAACCCTCTGAAACACTTCACAAACCCGCGTCGACACTCTCAGACTCGATTAAACCCTCTTAGACCCGGTTAAACTCGTATAAACTCGGTAAAACTCCGGTGTTTGTTAGTCCGTTTAAGATCTCAGGTTTCGCGGGTAAAGTGTGTTGTGATGACGTACCCGGAAGCATGAGTGTTTATTTTTATTTTTACTTTTCTATTAACGAAATAATTCAACGCCTTTTCAGTCATTTTAACATAAACATTTATTTAACATTAATAATATTCAGGAAAAGATCAAATAAATTGTAAAAAAAAAAAAAAAAAAAAAGAAGACATTGATACGTATGACAGGGATCCGAACATGGATAGGAAGCGTTTTTTTTTTTTAATGAAATAATTCAGTGCTTTTACAGTAATATTAACATAAACATACATCTAACATTAACATAAATATTCAGAAAAAAACTGAATAAAATTGTTAAAAAAAAAAAAAAAAAAAAACATTGATACGTATGAAAGGGATCGGAAGCGTGAGTGTGCGGCTTCCGGTCGTGGATCTGTCATCTTCAAACTTTGTCTCTCTTTCTGACTTTAAACTCGTTTTAAACTGATTTTAAACTCGTTTTGAGCGCTACAAACCTGCGGGAAATGAGGAGCGGCGGGCCCGGTCCTCTCCGCGGCGGGAGATAAAGGTGAGGACTCCAACTCTCGGCAGAAAAGTGCAGAAAAGTGCAGTATTATTCTGATTTTATCCTCAGATCTGACATCAGTCCACTTCCTCAAAGTGACCAGCCGAAACTCTGAAGCATCCGAGAGGTTTAGACCTGGATTAGTCCTGGTTTAGTCCTGGTTTAGACCTGGTTTAGACCCTAGTTTAGACCCTAGTTTAGTCCTGGATTTGTCCTGGTTTAGACCTGGTTTAGTCCTGGTTTAGACCTGGTTTAGACCCTAGTTTAGACCTGGTTTAGTCCTGGTTTAGTCCTGGTTTAGACCTGGTTTAGACCCTAGTTTAGTCCTGGATTAGTCCTGGTTTAGACCTGGTTTAGTCCTGGTTTAGTCCTGGTTTAGACCCTAGTTTAGACCCTAGTTTAGTCCTGGATTAGTCCTGGTTTAGTCCTGGATTAGTCCTGATTTAGACCTGGTTTAGTCCTGGATTAGTCTCTCGATTAGTCCTGGTTCAGTCCTGGTGTAGTCTCTGTTTTTGTCCTGGTTTAGTCCTGGTTTAGACCTGGTTTAGTCCTGGATTAGTCTCTGTTTTAGTCCTGGTTTAGTCCCTGGTTTAAATCACTTTGGGAGTTTTTCGGGAGTTTTCAGACGATCTTAAAACTGTATGAATAGTGTAATAAACCTGTAATAATACTGTAAAGAATACTATAATAATACTGTAATAAAACTGTAAGAATACTTTTTTAATACTGTAATATGACTGTAAGAATATTGTAATAATAATTTAAAGAATAGTGTAAGAAGAGTGTAGTAATACTATAATACTAATGCAACACTACTGTAATAATACTGTAAAAATAGAGTAAAAATACTGTAATAAAACTATAATACTACAATATTACTGTAATACTATACTAGAATACTGTAATAATACTGTAATAATACTTTAATAATACTGTCATAATACTTAGACAAACACAGGGAAATGATTTGGACACAATGTAAAATAATAACAGAAAGTAAAAATATAAATGTGTTTTATTACACTATTATTACAGTATTTTTACAATTTTATTTTCTGTCCAGTCTGCGGCGCACAGACACACACACACACACACACACACACACACACACACACACACACACACACACACACACACACACACACACACACACACACACACACACACACACACACACACAGACACACACACACACACACACACACACACACACACACACACACACACACAGACACACACACACACACACACACACACACACACACACACACACACACACACACACACAGACACACACACACACACACACACACACACACACACACACACACAGCACACACACACACACACACACACACACACACACACACACACACACACACAGACACACACACACACACACACACACACACACACACACACACACACACACACACACACACACACACACACACACACACACACACACACACAGACACACACAGACACACACACACACACACACACACACACACACACACACACACACACACACACACACAGACACACACACACACACACACACACACACACACACACACACACACACACACACACACACACACACACACACACACACACACACACACACACACAGACACACACACACACACACACACACACACACACACACACACACACACACACACACACACACACACACACACACACACACACACACACACACACACACACACACACACACACACACACACACAGACACACACACACACACACACACACACACACACACACACACACACACACACACACAGACACACACACACACACACACACACACACACACACACACACACACACACACACACACACACACACACACACACACAGACACACACACACACACACACACACACACACACACACACACACACACACACACACACACACACACACACACACACACACACACACACACACACACACACACACACACACACACACACACACACACACACACACACACACACACACACACACACACACACACACACACACACACACACACACACACACACACACACACACACACACACACACAGACACACACACACACACACACACACACACACACACACACACACACACACACACACAGACACACACAGACACACACACACACACACACACACACACACACACACACACACACACACACACACACACACACACACACACACACACACACACACACACACACACACACACACACACACACACACACACACACACACAACACACACACACACACACACACACACACACACACACACACACACACACACACACACACACACAGACACACACACACACACACACACACACACACACACACATACAGACACACACACACACACACACACAGACACACACACACACACACACACACAGCACACACACACACACACATACACACACAGACACACACACACACACACACACACACACACACACACACAGACACACACACACACACAGACACACACACAGACACACACACACACACACACACACACACACACACAGCACACACACACACACACACACACACACACAGACACACACAGACACACACACACACACACACACACACACACACACACACACACACACACACACACACACACACACACAGACACACACACACACACACACACACACACAGACACTTTTCAGGTTTATTCAGGTGGATTTGTAAAGAACCTGTCCGGACAGTTTCTACACCCACAACACACACAATAAAAAACAAACATGATCTGTTATTATGGACACACACACAACACACACACACACACACACACACACACACACACACAGACACACACACACACACACACACAAACACACACACACACAACACACACACACAGACACACACACAGACACACACACACACACCTTTTCTTAGAATACCAAAAGCATAAGGGCACTGCAAGATAAATACAAATACAAGTCTGATTCCCGGGAGACTCTGCATCACCTCTCTTCCTCCTCCTCCTCTTCTCCTTCTCTTCCTCCTCCTCCTCCTCCTCCTCTTCTTCCTCCTCCTCTTCTCCTCTTCTTTCTCCCGGGACAGGTTCAGTCGTTGCTCCGGTTTGTCCGGTTTCTCCGGATGGAGCGATTCTGTGCTCGCTGCTCTGATTCCTCTCCTCCCTCTCTCCTCTCTCCTCTCTCCTCCTCCTCTCTCTCTCTCTCTCTCTTCTCTCTCTTCTCTCTCCTCTCTCTTCTCTCTTCTCTCTGCTTCAGTCTTGTTTTTAGGATGTGATTTGAAGCTTGTGTGTTTTTGGAGCTCGTTTGTCCCACTCTCTCTCCTCTTGTTTTTGGGCTCGTTTGTTTTTGGGGCTCGTTTGTTTTGAATCTCGTTTGTCCCACTCTGTCCGGGCTCCGTGAAGGCGGCGGGCGCGGGTCACGTGGTGCTGGTTCTGTGTCTTGATTGGCTGTGGCCGCGTGGATCAGCTGCTCGGTGCGGACTCACGGACAGCGGCTCTCGCACCGGCGGCTCTCGCACCGGCGGCTCTCGGCCTCTCCGCGGTCTCTCTCCGGTCCCAGCCCCCGGCGCCTGATCCGCGGGACGCACAGCCGACCCCGTGACCCCCGCCGCCCGCAGCCCGGCCGCTCCTCACGCCGCTGGGGCCGCTCTGTTTCAGGGATGCGTAAGCGGAACGCGCCGGCGCCCGCGGAGCAGCACAGCGGCTCTGAGCGGGACTCACAGCCCGGACCCAAGCGCCATCCCCGGGCACACGCAGCGCAGGCGGACGGGGAGCAGCCGGGAGCCATGGGGAAGCGCTTCAGGAGGTAAGACTCGACCAGAACCGGACCGGGACCCGAGCAAAACCCGAGAAAAACCCGAGCAGAACCGGTTTATCTGGGATCCAATCAGGACAAAGGTGAAGTCAGAGCGAACCAATGAGCGCGAGCAGGTGCAGCACAGGTGACTCGTAATCCCCAAAGACCTGCTCACCTGGGCTGGGCTAGACCTGGGTTAGACCTGGTTCAGGCTGGATAGTTTGTAAACACTTTTACACCTGGTTCAGTGTTTTGTGTCCTGCACTGGGTCAGTCACATCTGGTCCAGACCTGGTCCAGTCCTGGTCCAGTCCTGGTCTAGTTCTGCAGATTGAGGTCAGAGGTCAGTCCAGGGTTCAGACGCTGATTCTGCATTTTCACTTCCCGCCGTGACAGAACTCAGAAGTGTCTTTAGTCCAGAGACACGAGACTAAACCAGGACTAAACTAGGACTGAACCAGGTCTAAACCAGGTCTAACCCGGGTCTCAGTGGGTCTGTTCTGTGTTAATAATTCAGTGCAGATTGTGTAACAGACAAATTATTCTCACATTACACCTCCAAAGACCACTGAGTACACACAGTACTACAAATACTACTACTACTACTACAAATACTATGAATACTACTACTACTACTACAAATACTACTAATACTATAAATGCTACTGCTACTACTACTACTACAAATACTATGAATACTACTACTACTATTACTACTATTACTAATACTATTACTACTAGTCTTTTAGTACTCATGGACCGGTCTTGGTCTCGAGACTACTTTTTTTTATGGTCTGGGTCTGGTCTTGGACTGGTTCAGGTCCTGGTCTTGATCTGGTCTTGAACTCCGTCTGGTCTTGGACTGGGTCTGGTCCTGGTCTGGTCTTGGACTCAGTCTGGTCTTGGACTCAGTCTGGTCTTGGACTCGGTCTGGTCTTGGACTGGGTCTGGTCCTGGTCTGGTCTTGGACTCAGTCTGGTCTTGGACTCGGTCTGGTCTTGGACTTGGTCTGGTCTTGGACTCGGTCTGGTCTTGGACTCGGTCTGGTCTTGGACTGGACTTGGACTCGGTCTGGTCCTGGTCCTGGTCTTGGTCTTGGTCTTTTCTTCTGTTGTTGGTGATAAAGTTGTTCCAGTGTGTGGGACGTTAATCAGATCAAACGGAGATAAACCTGGACTTGGACTTGGACTTTGAGAAACTTTATTGATCCACAGAGAAACGATCACAAAGAAAAGAACCACACCTGAAAACATCAACAAAAACATGAATATAAATGTGACAAAATAAAAACACGTGGAAATGACAAACATGATCTGGATTTAGTCTCAAAGTCTGATCAGTTTTACACATGGAGGTGCTGAAAAGTCCTGGAAAACTCACGAAAAAGTCATGGAAAAGTTTGGAAATGTTGTCAATGAAAAAGCGTGAGAATCCTGATATAAATGTAAATGTGAAGTGTTTAAATGTTTAATTTTTTGTGAAAGGAGCAGAAATCGTGAGTCTGAACTTGAGTCTGCTGCTTTTCACACACGTGGTTTTTGTTTTTTGTTGTTTGTTTTTGTTTTTTTATGAATGAAAAACTAAATAAAAGAGCTGAGTGCAGTTCCTTGTGTGTCCAGCAGGGGCGCTCTCTGGAGGAGGATGCGCAGACTCGTCTTTTGGCTCATGCTTTTCTACGTCTCCATCCCCGTCGTCATCAAACTGTTCCCCTCCATCCAGGCCCGACTCGTCTATCTCAACTTCGGTCAGTCCGGATTTAGACCTGGTTTAGTCCTGGTTTAGTTCTGGTTTAGTCCTGGTTTAGTCCTGGTTTAGTCCTGTTTTAGTCCTGGTTTAGTCCTGTTTTAGTCCTGGTTTAGTCCTGGTTTAGACCTGGTTCAGTCCTGGTTCTGTTTTAGTCCTGTTTTAGTTCTATTTTAGACCTGGTTTAGACCTGGTTTAGACCTGGTTTAGTCCTGGTTTAGTCCTGGTTTAGTTCTGGTTTAGACCTGGTTTAGTTCTGGTTTAGTTCTGGTTTAGTTCTGGTTTAGACCTGGTTTAGACCTGGTTTAGTTCTGGTTTAGACTTGGTTTAGTTCTGGTTTAGTTCTGGTTCAGTTCTGGTTCAGTCCTGGTCCAGTCCTGGTTTAGACCTGGTTTAGTCCTGGTTTAGTCCTGGTTTAGTCCTGGTTTAGTCCTGGTTTAGACCTGGTTTAGACCTGGTTTAGTCCTGGTTTAGTCCTGGTTTAGACCTGGTTTAGACCTGGTTTAGTCCTGGTTCAGTCCTGGTTCTGTTTTAGTTCTATTTTAGACCTGGTTTAGACCTGGTTTAGTCCTGGTTTAGTTCTGGTTTAGACCTGGTTTTGTTCTGGTTTAGACCTGGTTTTGTTCTGGTTTAGACCTGGTTTAGTTCTGGTTTAGTTCTGGTTTAGACTTGGTTTAGTCCTGGTTCAGTTCTGATTGAGTTCTGGGTCTGGTTGAGTCCTGGTTGAGTTCTGGGTCTGGTTCTGTTTCAGTTCGGGTTCCGTACTTCATTGACCTCAGACGACCTTTGGATCAGGGTCTGAATCACACCAACAACTTTTACCTGGAACCAGAGTCCGGAACCCGGATCGGAGTCTGGTCAGTCCCACCTCTCCCCACCTATCCCCACCTATCCCCACCTATCCCCACCTATCCCCACCTCTCCCCACCTCTCCCCACCTATCCCCACCCCCACCTATCCCCACCTATCCTCCATCCCCACCTATCCCCACCTATCCCCACCTCTCCCCACCTCTCCCCACCTATCCCCACCTATCCCCACCTATCCCCACCTATCCCTCCATCCCCACCTATCCCTCCATCCCCACCTATCCCCACCTATCCCCATCTCTCCCCACCTATCCCTCCATCCCCACCTATCCCCCTCTCCCATCCCCACCTCTCCCCACCTATCCCACCTATCCACCTATCCCACCTCTCCCACCTCTCCCCACCTCTCCCCACCTATCCCCACCTATCCCCACCTATCCCCACCTATCCCCACCTCATCCCCACCTCTCCCCACCTATCCCCACCCTCCCCATCCCCACCTATCCCCACCTCTCCCCACCTCTCTCCCCACCTCTCCCACCTATCCCCACCTACCTCTCCCCACCTCTCCCCCACCTCTCCCCACCTCTCCCCACCTATCCCCACCTCTCCCCACCTCTCCCCACCTATCCCCACCTCTCCTCCCCACCTATCCCCACCTATCCCCCACCTCTCCCCACCTCTCCCACCTATCCCACCTCCTCCCCACCTCTCCCCACCTCTTCCCCACCTCTCCCCACCTCCCCACCTCTCCCCACCTATCCCCACCTCTCCCCACCTCTCCCCACCTCCCTCCTCCCCACCTCTTCCCCACCTATCCCTCCATCCCCACCTCTCCCCACCTATCCCCACCCCTCTCCCCACCTATCCCCACCTCCTCCATCCCCACCTATCCCCACCTATCCCCACCTCTCCCTCCATCCCCACTCATCCCTCTCTCCTCTTTTTTCAGGCACACTGTTCCCTCGTTCTTGTGGAGGGAGGCTCAGGGGAAAGATTCTTTTTGGTTCGAGTCGTCGCTTAAATCTGCAAAATCTGTGATTCTGTATCTGCACGGGAACGCAGGAACCAGGTACTACAAGTACTGCGAGTACTACAAGTACTACAAGTACTGCGAGTACTACAAGTACTACAAGTACTACAGATACTACAGATGTGTGTGTGTGGTTTCAGGGGGGGGGATCACCGCGTGCAGCTCTATAAGGTAAAGTGACGCTCTCGAGCACTTCCTGTTTCGTCCAGCGGCGGCGCTCTCACCCTGTTCTCTTTCAGGTCCTCAGCTCACTGGGCTTCCACGTCATCGCCTTCGACTACAGAGGTACAGAGTACACAGAGTACACAGAGTACACAGAGTACACAGTACACGAGTACACAGAGTACACAGAAGTACACAGAAGTACACAGGAGTACACAGAGTACACAGAGTACACAGAGTACACAGGAGTACACAGGAGTACACAGGAGTACACAGGAGTACACAGGAGTCCTTACGGCTCCCTGCAGTACGAGTCTGTACGAGGCTCCACCCCCCAGGCTCCCACACCACAATCCTCCATAAAAACACAAAAACACGACAAACCTGATGTTTGTGCAGGAGTTTGATCACCAGTATGACTGAGCTCTGAAGGGGGAGGGACTTAGTGCAGAGAGCAACATATAAAACATAAATACAGAGTTTTGGGTGAAATAAAAATTTTTAAAAACAATAAAAGGAACATGGACGAGTTACAGTGAAAACCAGTTCAGTCCTGGTTTAGTCCTGGTTGAGTTCTGGTTTAGTCCTGGTTGAGTCCTGGTCTGGTCCTGGTTGAGTTCTGGTTTAGTCCTGGTTGAGTCCTGGTTTAGTCCTGGTTGAGTCCTGGTTTAGTCCTGGTTTAGTCCTGGTTGAGTTCTGGTTTAGTCCTGGTTGAGTCCTGGTCTGGTCCTGGTTGAGTTCTGGTTTAGTCCTGGTTGAGTCCTGGTCTGGTCCTGGTTGAGTTCTGGTTGAGTCCTGGTTGAGTCCTGGTTGAGTCCTGGTCTGGTCCTGGTTGAGTTCTGGTCTGGTCCTGGTCCTGGTTGGTCCTGGTTGAGTCCTGGTCTGGTCCTGGTTGAGTCTGGTTGAGTTCTGGTTTAGTCCTGGTTGAGTCCTGGTCTGGTCCTGGTCTGGTCCTGGTTGGTCCTGGTTGAGTCCTGGTTGAGTCCTGGTTGAGTCCTGGTTGGTCCTGGTCTGGTCCTGGTTGGTCTGGTTGAGTCCTGGTCTGGTCCTGGTTGAGTCCTGGTTGAGTCCTGGTTGAGTCTGGTTGAGTCTGTCTGGTCTGGTTGAGTCCTGGTTGAGTCCTGGTCGTCTGGTTGGTCCTGGTTGAGTCCTGGTCTGGTCCTGGTTGAGTCCTGGTTGAGTCCTGGTCCTGGTCTGGTCTGGTTGAGTCCTGGTTGAGTGGTCTGGTCCTGGTTGGTCCTGGTTGAGTCTGGTCTGGTTGAGTCCTGGTTGAGTCCTGGTCTGGTCCTGGTTGAGTCCTGGTTGAGTCCTGGTCTGGTCCTGGTTGAGTCCTGGTTGAGTCCTGGTCTGGTCCTGGTTGAGTCCTGGTCTGGTCCTGGTTGAGTCCTGGTTGAGTCCTGGTCTGGTCCTGGTTGAGTCCTGGTTTCTGGTCCTGAGTCCTGGTTGAGTCCTGGTTGAGTCCTGGTCTGGTCTGGTTGAGTCTGGTTGAGTCCTGGTCTGGTCCTGGTTGAGTCCTGGTTGAGTCCTGGTCTGGTCCTGGTTGAGTCCTGGTTGAGTCCTGGTCTGGTCCTGGTTGAGTCCTGGTTGAGTCCTGGTTGAGTCCTGGTTGAGTCCTGGTTGAGTCCTGGTTGAGTCCTGGTCCTGGTCCTGGTTGAGTCCTGGTCTGGTCCTGGTTGAGTCCTGGTTGAGTCCTGGTTGAGTCCCTGGTCCTGGTCTGGTTGGTCCTGGTTGAGTCCTGGTCTGGTCCTGGTTGAGTCCTGGTTGAGTCCTGGTCTGGTCCTGGTTGTTGAGTCCTGGTTGAGTCCTGGTCTGTCCTGTGGTTGAGTCCTGGTTGAGTCCTGGTTGAGTCTGGTCCTGGTCTGGTTGAGTCCTGGTTGAGTCTGGTCTGGTCCTGGTTGAGTCCTGGTTTGAGTCCTGGTCTGGTCCTGGTTGAGTCCTGGTTGAGTCCTGGTTGGTCCTGGTCCTGGTTGAGTCCTGGTGAGTCCTGGTTGAGTCCTGGTCTGGTCCTGGTTGAGTCCTGGTTGATCCTGGTCTGGTCTGGTTGAGTCTGAGTCTGGTCCTGGTTGAGTCCTGGTTGAGTCCTGGTTGAGTCCTGGTCTGGTCCTGGTTGAGTCCTGGTTGAGTCCTGGTCTGGTCCTGGTTGAGTCCTGGTTGAGTCCTGGTCTGGTCTTGGTTGAGTCCTGGTTGAGTCCTGGTCTGGTCCTGGTTGAGTCCTGGTTGAGTCCTGGTTGAGTCCTGGTTGAGTCCTGGTCTGGTCCTGGTTGAGTCCTGGTTGAGTCCTGGTCTGGTCCTGGTTGAGTCCTGGTCTGGTCCTGGTTGAGTCCTGGTTGAGTCCTGGTTGGTCCTGGTCCTGGTTGAGTCCTGGTTGAGTCCTGGTCCTGTTGAGTCCTGGTTGAGTCCTGGTTGAGTCCTGGTCTGGTCCTGGTTGAGTCCTGGTTGAGTCCTGGTTGAGTCCTGGTCTGGTCTGAGTCCTGGTTGAGTCCTGGTCCTGGTCCTGGTTGAGTCCTGGTTGAGTCCTGGTCTGGTCCTGGTTGAGTCCTGGTCTGGTCCTGGTTGAGTCCTGGTTGAGTCCTGGTCTGGTCCTGGTCTTGTTGCAGGTTGGGGCGACTCGGACGGTTCTCCTTCAGAGTTGGGGATGACTTCAGACGCTCTGTTCGTTTACGACTGGATCAAAGTCCAACTGAACAAAACCCCACTGTACATCTGGGGCCACTCCCTGGGCACCGGGTAAGTCCTGGTCTAGTCCTGGTCTAGTCC